AAGGGATCTGTTGAATGAGAACATGTGAAGCTTTAAATCGGCTCTTCTCTGGATTCAACAGCTTATCTGCTACAAAACATTTTGCTGAAATGTCCACATCCAAAATATCACTGATTTAACTCGTTCCACACTACTGTTAACACTGAGCACTTCTTTCGCGCAATCGAAGGAAACCAGTTACTGGCTTGACCGCTAATTCGTATTTACAAAAACCATAAATGGTTTGCGAAACTACCTTTGTTGTGGCGTCACCGAACTCGCAAAGTTGTTCACTGCCATATTTGATCAAATATTAGACATTATCTGCTAATATTGGCGTTGTGAGTGTTGGACTCGTTTCGAGCGATTGAACGCTAACAATTGGATAGTTTTTCATGTTTAACCTATTTTTACAGTTAATGTTATTGAAAACAGTTCTGTAGATAGTGAGGCCATTGGTGTAGGTAAGACTATGTGGGGCTCCATAACTAGAAGCACATATATACACCGACAGGCAAAAGTCAGCATACGTCCTTACTTTTTGATAGCTGGCGGATCCAAGAAAGGCACAGACAAGGTAATAATGCAGATCTTTGTCAATATATTTTTAAAACCACCAGGAAATCATCCAAATAACGGATATTGGGAGGTACCGATATATGGGGGGTACACGAAGACGTGAAGTGGCATGGACAATTTTCTGTCATAGGAATCAGTGCCCACTGCGAATTCCAAATACCAAATTTGAAACAATCCCATTGAAAAGTGTAATACAAATCATTAAACCACCGAATATCTGAAGGTACAATGGTAGGGGCCATGGACCTCTACAGCCAATTATCTGCCTATTGCAAATAGTAAGATATGTCCAAGATGATTCTGGCAGGTACCGTTATATGGGGGCTATACGATGGGGTGGACCTGTACAAGAAATTTTCTGTCATAAGAGGTAGTACCCATTACGAACTCTAAATACCAAATTTCAAACAATTCCGGTGAAAAGTGTGACATAAATGATCAAACTACCGAATATCTAAAGTTACAGATATTTGGGTTTTATACCAAAACATGGACCCATATATAAGAAGATTTCTCTGCTAGGATGTTACCTACACACTCTCAATTTACAGCATATTCGGTATGAAATTGTAACGGACAGATAGGCAGATCGACGGACATCGCTAAATCAACATAGAATTGTATGCTTTGTGGGGTCTACAATGCATACTTCGAAGTATAGCATACGTAATGACAAACTTAATATGAGCTCCATACTATGGTGGAGGGTGTAATAATTAAATATCGATGTAACTTATTAACGGCAGAATCGGACAGTTGGTGAACATTTCCCAAGCTAAAGGAAAAAAATTGTCAAATCAAATACAGATTTCAAAAGAAAGATTTTCCAAATATCATCCTAATGCCTAATACGGCCGCATTACCCGTATACACGAGGTTCATATCTTCAGCCAACCAAATGAAAGCAAGGGCAAATGTTTAACAAAGGTTAAGTTCTTACAAATGTAGCCGTTAATTGCTCCAAACATCATATTAGTATACCCTCCACGTACCCCCTACGTATTATGGAGGGTACATTAAGTTTGTCATTCCGTTTGTTACTTATCGATATAAACATTCTAGAGCCTTCCTTCAGTTTCCGTCAAAATACACGAAAAGGACACTTCTGACATTTACAATGATGCTGATATCCGGAAGGAACAGAGAAATAATTTGCACATTAGAAAATGTCGGTAACCTAAAAGTCCAGTAAACGAGCAACTGAACACCTTAAAAATCATCCAGTACCATCGGCAGAATAAAATCAGTTGTTTTGTGCTTTGAGGAGTTGTAAAGATGATCGTAAATGGAATATGTTCATATCCAGTGTAAACCCATAAACGCGATCTGTAGAGGACATACAAATTAACATAAAAAGTCGGACCAAATCGATCGATCGATCGATCGATGTGATCGTCTCAACGCGTCGACATATGATGGTCACTAGTAATACAATGGGCCTGGAGATCAATTGTTCAAGGTGTCAATAAACTACTGGGGCCAGACATGCTTCAAATGCAATTTCCACAAACGGATATGAATTTATCCAATTTGGCTTTCATTTCGATGATTGAATCTTCAGTAGTTTTGGTATTTTTTGGCAAACAATTTTATTTACAGAGTTGTCCAATTCTTGGGCTTGGCCTAGGTGTATGTAGATGTCTCAGTCGATTTCAAATGTACATTAATGCGAAGAATCCCTGCAATGTATTCATTGACAAAATAAGATTCGATCACGATTACCTCGATATGTCAAAGCTGTAGACCACAGCAAACCGTCTTTTCACTTTCTACGTCGTGGTGTAGGACATGAAAGCTTTTTGCCCATTACCCCTCTCCCCCTAGGCACTATTTTGACTGATTTGTTGTTCTACTGGACATCCTTTTAGGCAGGTCTCTTAATTAGGCAAACAGAAGTTCTTTTCTCATCTCAACAACTCTCGCCAGCTCCGGCAATAAACCTTGTTCCCAGCCACACACTCGTACATGCATACGTTATTATTTCTTGATTTAGTGAATAAACAAAGACTGGCTGATATCACCCACACATCGAAAGAGGAAGCGATTGCGACCAACATGAGCAAATGAATCGGCAAGTCGGTAAGTGGCGTGCGCAGTTAGTGGGTTTGTCGGTCTCAGTGTGACAACAGCGCGCATGAATGACGTTACTCAGTGCCTCACCGTAGTATAAACCCACATTTAGTATAGCCGCACTTCGTCATTCGAACTCTCATTCATAAAAAGCTGCCAAGCAACAAACATCGAAAATAATAGACCTGACCTGAGCTCACCACTCGTTTTAAATGACAACAACACCGGACATGTTTGAGTGGGCTGGAATTGGTGTTCGCTTAAGATTATTCAAGATCAAAACACCCATACGCAGCTACCTCACAATAGAATTTTCACAAAATAGTGTGGCAACTTCAGTCGCAAACCCAGTAAGCCTATTCAGAGGAAATTCAAACCGCCAGAAGATACGTTAAAATTGTTGCCAAGTTTCGTACGGCCAATGAACAATATCGAATTGGTTATATGTTTTAAAGACAGTTTTTAGCTACAGAAAGGAAATAACATTGTACCCAAATATAAGTGCAAACGGTCTTCCACAGCATGCAATTGAATTAAGGTGGAAATTTCGGCCATCTTTAATGGGTGTTTTGAGAGATGGATGGACAATTTCAAATCGTGTACTTCTATTGCCAATTTTAACTGCGGAGGTCTACCACACAATGAGATCCCCGATCCCCGATAGCCTAATTCCAATCAATTTTAACTTCGGAAGTCTACCACACAACGAGATCCCCGATAACCTAATTACAACCAATTCTTGTCGCAAAGTCGGCTGTTGCCTTCCGCAACACTTGAAAACAGTTACCAACAAATCAGTTAACACCACCTAGCAGCGGTGTTTCAATGTCCGTGCACCCAGTAGACGAGGAAGGTATATAAATAATATATTTTATTTTTTCGTTTTGATTTTCTTTTGTTAGTCAAAGTTTCACACGAACGGACACATGGAACAATGGCAGGAGGTAGATTTTATATTTCTTTTCGTTTCGATGTCCCTATTCTGTCAAAACATATGTGCAGTTTGTAAATGTATGTGGTTTCTGTTTTTAATAATAAAGGAAACAATTATTTCTAAAAAAGATTTCTAAATCGATTGCAATAGAAATTCATATTTTCGATGTGACAGCGCTACGTTTTTCGACGATTTTCACCACTCAAGTTGAACACTTGTATTTATATATTTTATATCCACTAAACAGTGAATGTTTTTAATCCCGGAAAACTCACAAATACTTTAAAAGATCACTTGTGACTATTACAGCGATTCTGATAGCCAAGATATCGGATTTATAGCAAAATAGGTACAATGTATATTTTAAAGAAATATATCTTAGTTTTCCCGCTTATAAGTCATGAACGGCTGAATTGACTTTCACAATTCTCATCGATTCGGAATGGCGTTTTGCCAGAAAAGGTTAAAATCTAAGAAAATCTCGTAAAAATATGTCAATAAAAAGTGATTTTTTTTAATTTTTTTATCGCATGCTATTTTTTTCAATTTGACTTACAATTTTGAATTATGAATTTTGTAAAGATTTTCGACACCCTACAACACTATGTGTTTTGGGGTATTATATAGAGGTTCCAATTATCGTCCGCTCTACACGAAATTTTGAATTGGGGTAGGGTTAGGGTCAGAATTGAAGCATATTGTTATTTGAAGATGTACAAATCGACAAAAAATAACATTTTCCTGATTTTGCAGTCGCTCAACAGGTCACAATTGAAAACCAATCAACACGGAGTTTTGCATGAGAAGAGAGTTAACGACAGGGAAGAAGTCTAGCATTTTGGATAACCATTGGATTATATTTAGCGGGTAAAATAGACCACAACCTTCGTGTGAAATTGCTTTGAATACCTAACAACGCGACCGAGTGCGTAAATATGGGGCAAAAACCTAAGAGTAACATGTGGGCAGGGCTCCATGATATTATTTAAAAAACGAAATCTTCCATGATGGATTTCGACCAATGCAGAGTTGTTGATCCTCCTTGAGTTGAGTTAAAAATTCCCGTCTCCCTCGATGTTAAGCTACCTTTCGGGTTGTGCTATGCTGGATCTGATATGTAAAAGTAGCAACACTGCCCTCCTTTAAGAGGTGCTGCTATATTGTGTGCGTGAGTAAAATGTCTCAAAACTCAAATATTACTCTCTCGTTGACTTGAACAATATTTGCAGCAATTCAAGGCTGTGGTTTGTTGGGTTCAAACTCCGATAAAATAAATGAACAAATGTGGCAACGGTATTGTCGAAGGCAACAAAATTGCGCCTCTGCATACTACGTCACACCAACAGAGGCCGGCTGATCAGATAGTGGCAACCACTCACACTCACACATGTTTTGTTTGGATATTTGGATAAGTAGACGAAATTCCCCTCACCAACACATGCTCAGCGTGGCGTCACGAGTGTGAGATACTGGTTGGTATCGTTTGATGTCGCCTCAGCTGCGACCGAACAACGTGCTACGCGCCGCTGCTCCATTCGATGCTTATTTTCATTGCTCGATGATATCAACAACAATCAATTTTATTCAGTGCAAATTCGACAAACCTCGCATTCGGACGCGTTTCCATTAAGAATACTCTTTGAGCGCACAGCACATGTGAGATATATACTAAAGTGAAAAATAATCTCTAGCTGGCCGTCGCTTGTCGTACGCTCCACTCCATATTCCACGCACCTTCTCTTATTCATTCGACGCCGTGTGACGCGTAACAGTCCTATTTTTAGAAGTGGACTCGCAAAACAAATCAACGTGCTGCAGTGAACAACCACACAGTGTTTAGCATTTGTGGGAGCAATACAAAACAACAAATGATAATACCTCGCTATTTACAACAACAACCTCGATAATTGGACGGACACCATATTCCTATCATTCCCACAATTTTAAAGGTAATCTCGCCTGGGGATCTGAGAACGCAAAGCCAGCGCCGCCATCAAAATGTTCTGGTAAATTGTGTGTGATTGACCAAACAGCAACCTGTGGGAGGACGCATTATAGCAACTGAAGCTCTCGCCTAGACCCCCACTAAAATGCAGTCCTAAGAATTTAAACGCACCTCGTCTAACAGCCGCAGCTACCCCTGCTATTTCTTAGTGTCGCCCAAAGGGAGTCACTTGGAGGCCTGGAGACAATTTCAACTCCATGGTAAAAAAACAAATTCTGAGTATTTATGTTTTTATACCCTCCACCATACTATGGACGGTATATTAACTTTGTCATTCCGTTTGTAACTCCTCGAAATACTCATGTCAGACCCAACAAAGTATATATATTCTTGATCAGCGTAAAATTCTAAAACGCTTTAGAAAAAAACGTCCGTCCGTCTATATCGGTGCCTCTCGATATTCGGTATTTTGATGATTTTAGCGACATTATTAATCGAAATTGTTTCAAATTTGGTATTTGAAGTTCGTAATGGATACTACAGCATATGACAGAAAATTGTCTGTGCAGGTCTACGTCTTCGTATAGAGTTTAGGTACAATTCCGACCGAAATTGTTTGAGATGTCGTATTTGAAGTTCGTAATGACGGAAAATTGTCTATGATGGTCCAGGTCTTCGCACAGCTCCGATATAACGGAACCTCCCGATATAAGATATTTTGATGATTTTAGCTACATTATTCACCGTTTATTTTAAGTTTCGAATTTGAATATGGTAATGGCTTATGACAAACAATGCCGACGTATAGACCCCAATATAATTTTTAAAATTTTAACAGAATTGTTTAAGGATTTTATTTTTTGAAAATTTCTCAATACTGTGTTTTAACTTGTTAAATGTCGTTCGTTGCATCTCTCGTGAACTCGGACATAAATGGCCTTAAATAAGGAACACATACCTGTTACCTCCCTCAAGAAGGTCTAAATTTTTGAAAACTATGATAATATTATAAAGATTTCAAGGACTTCCGGGCAAATATAGACGGTTGCAAAATCTTTCTGGACAATAGACGTGAATTTTTAGTTTAAAGACATTTGTTTCAAGGACATTCTAAAAATCACAAAATTTAAGGAATGTGTTAATTTTTTCACTTTTTGCATTATCTAGAGGGATCTGTTCAATTCATTTCCCGAGATAATTGCAAAAGTTATCAATTTTAGAGTTCGAGAAAGTGTTCCCACAACGAGGAATGCAGAATCGGGAATCCCATGTTTGGTATAATTATGCCGACATAAAGTCCCATTGCAATGGATCGTAGACCCAGCAAACATAACGTCTTGACGAGTTCATCGTCAAAACCTTGCAATTATACAATATAGATCGCAGTTCAAATCGGATCCCCACGAAATGTTGATCGAATGTGTAGGTCTCGACAAGGAATGCGCAATTTACCCTGAAGTGCGATTAAAGTTCGGCGCACAAAATGCTCTTATCACTCGTCTGGAGCTTCCAAATTGTGTGGCAAAGTTTCTTTTAACCGATCTCAAATGAAGTTTCAGACTATATAAGGAGAAGTGACTTGACTTTCCTGGTGCTGCCATTAAAAGCGAAATGCCAAATATTATTGATCGGACACAAACAGATACAGCTATGTGATTGTTGCCGCCAAGACTTGCCAACTACTAGCCAATCAATGTACCGACAGATTCAATCACTTGTCGATTGCCACATATTGACCAGTAATCTGTTATAACCAGTAGCACATGGAATGCCATCTTTGGCTAAAGTCAGTCAAGGATGCACAAGCTAAGACTGTGTTGTCCAAACACACACACACAAACTCGGCACCTGTGTAGCACAACTAACCGAAGGTTTACGCCGTTCCCCTCCGACTTGTACATACTTAGGTCGGGTTAATTTATATTCACAAACCTCAGCGGTGATCTAGCATTCGAACAAGAAGAGAATTACACACACAACAAATAATGAATTACACTTCTGAATGTCATGCCAGTACAGCATCGATTACATCTCCCTCGCAGCCGAAAATTAAAACAATCAAAAACGTAGCCGACTACTTAGAAAATTCCATGGGAAACTAGAAACTAACAAAACTTGGCCGATCTCCCTCGCCAACAGTATCGAGTGGAGATTGTGTTCCCAGTGTACCCACATGCGACGTTTACTCGTGTTCAAATGTCATTCAGGCATACATATGTACCTACGTGTGTAATTTCTCCTTATAAGGAACGTAATGTTGATAAATAACAGATTCGGCAACGACATGTCTTGTCGCAAAAGCAATTCAAAATTCAAACCACTGCCAAAAAATGGGTTTAAACTGCTTTGCTATTTTTTTGACGTTTTTGTACCCTCCACATACATAGTATGGAAGGTATGTTAAGTTTATAATTCCGTTTGTAACTCATCGAAATATTCACTTAAGACCCAACAAAGTATACATAATCTTGATCAGAGTAAAAACCTAAGTCGCTTTAGCCGTGCCCATCCGTCTGTCCAACGTCAAAATTTTAATATAGCCTCCATATAATTATAGCCCCCCCCCTATTCGGTACTTTGACGGTTTTAGCCACACTTTCTAACGGAATATTTTAAAACTCGGTATATTGAGGTTGTAATGGGTACTACCTCATGTGGCACAATGTTGTCAATATAGTTCTACGTTTTCCTAAAGCCCCCATATAAAGGTACCTCCGATATGCCATATTTTGACAATTTTGGTGACACTTTCTAAGAGAAAAGTTTTAAATTCGGTGTTTAGAGTTCAAAATATGTTCTACCTCCTGTGGTAGAACATTGTCTATATAAGCTCACGTTTAAATATACCCCCATGTAAAGATACCCAAATGTTCGATATTTTGACAATAATAAGCTCTACCTCCAACAGAACATTGCCTTTAAAGGTCCACATTTTCCTATGGTGCCCATACAAAGGTACTTCCTTATATTTGGTACTTTACGATTTTTTAACAGATTTACTAAAAATTCAACATTGGGATTCCGCAATGGATTCTTCTTCTTATATAGAAACAAGAAGTGACACACACCGCCGAATACTGGAATATCTGCATTTACAGATCTATTTTTACATAAGTTTCTTTTCAAATTGTGGAGGGTATAAAAATATAGACCCTGCCGAACTTGATACATTTTTTACTTATTCAATCATCCAGATACAGTGTCCAAATTTGGATTGCATAACGGAATTTGAAATAAAAATAAATTTGCTAAATTATATTGAAATCGGTTCAGATTTGGATATATCTCCCATATGTGATGGAATTTAAAACGAACACACATTTGTATTGAAATCGGTTCAGATTGTTTTTTTTTTACCAACAAATATTCGTATTTAATATTTTGAATGTACATAAAATCAAAAGGGACAGCGAAGCGCACCAGCTATTTCCCCTTTAAACTGCTTTGCAATCATACAATAAGCATGTTACCGAATGCAGTATGGGTATCCGGGTATTGGTAGTTTAACTCCATTTCCAATCTCCTTATTACAGTTGTAAAGAAGAGTTAAAAGCTGTCGGAAAATGTTTTCGCACCACGGAAGATTAGTCGCAATGACAGTAGTACATCTTCCATAGTAACGTTATATTTGTATTTCTGTATGCATGTAAATATGATTATGAACATCCAGCCATAGTTACTGCAAAAACCCGCCAACACAACCGTATTATTTCCGGTGCTCCGGCCATAGCTCCATGAACCCCATATGGAATGTGTGCATACACACATGCACATTTCCCTAGGGTTTTGTTACGACCAGACATTTCAAGCTTCATTTACCACCGAATATTGCGTGGGTGTGATCATCTAACTCGACAATTAAAAAATAATAGTGATCGATGTGGGATGAGTTGACCCACATGCCAACGCATGCCTTCTGCCTACTCTCTTTGAATTGGTTGCAACGTACCACCAAAACCCGTAGGCATTCGGGGACTATGGTGGGAGGAACATTTAAAACACTGGGGTTAAACAGTTGTTTGTAGGTGGGAGTGCATGGTATGGAGCAGAAAACAAGCTACCGACTGTTATTTATTATTATTGATTTCTCCACAACAACAATAGTATTATTTTTTTAATTGTTCCCACAAATTATATGGCGTCACTAAAACGCAACTTATGTGGGGTACACAGATACGGACTTCTTTTCGTATCCTACACCATATTGTAGGGTATATCGTCGATAAATCGAATTTGATGACCGGTCTTAACTCCTCGAATTATGATTTCAGATCCCGTATCGAAAGACTTGCTTGAGCATTTAAGTGGATTAAGATAGATTTTGACATTTAACTAAAGCCACTTCTTAAACCAATAGTTAACAATTGAAAACCTTAATACGCAGAGGATATAGCATGAGAGAATGAAACAATTACAAATGAGGGTTTCAGCATTTAAGATACGAACGATGAAGTCGATTGGTGGGAAAGGTGCTATAGTCGTTCGGGGCCGACCCTGTGATACCCAACAACACTATACTATGTTGCAAGCCCCTGAGTTTCAAATCCATTTTGCATTGTAATTGCAAAATTACATGCATTGTAATTGCATGACAAAAAATTTAACAAAAAATACTAACTTTTTTGACAGATTTGTAGGGATTATCTTAGGTTTTAGCCTTTTCTGGCAAAATTGATGAAAATTCTCAAAATCCGTCCAGCGGTTATTGACTTATAAGCGGAATAACTAACATCAATTTCTTTTACATATGGATTGTACCTATTTCGCTACATATCCGATATCTTGGCTATCAACCTCACTGTAATGGTCACAAGGGATCATTTAATGTGTTTCTGACTTTTTCGGTATTAAAAATATTCACGGTTTCATAGAAATTTTCGTAATTTGACCATAAATTCCGCGTCTTTTGGTATGTGATTGTGGTCTGTAGAGTAAGTGCAAATTCAGGAAATGTTTCTGTTTTTGGTCCTTCTCAACCCAATTCAGTAGTTAACGTTACGTTTGTAATTTTTTGTTAGAAAACCTCATAATGTAAGGGACAACAAAAGTTTTAATTATTACAACAACGTACAGCAGAAGATGTTTATCTGATGATGGTAGACCAATTAAAACAATCATTCTCCTAATACTTTTTTTTTTAATTTAAGACGTTAAAATTTGACTAAAATATAGTATCTGAGGAAGAATAAAATAATCAATCATACCTATCTAAAGAATGAACCTTATATCAATAGCAGTTCCGAGTATTCCCGAGAATGTTATGAGTTTGTGGGTAGCCAATCGGATTGACGCAGACGACAATCAATTAATATAATTTATATTGGCTAATAAATCCTTCGGCGGCAATCTGTATTTTAATTCCTATAATTCGTCTTCTCAATTTTACAGGTACATACGTCAATAAGGAAAACATGGACTGCGAAAAGTACTCCTTGCGACAGAGAGAGAAGAGGAGACTGAGGCAGGGAGCAAACACCAAGTCGCCAGGATATAACAGTGATAACTCCAGCGAGTGTCTCCACAACATATTTCTTTGCCAGAAGACATCGGCTGGAGCCAATGCCAAATTAAAGACGAAAGCAGCACCTCTAAGCAAGTACCGACGGAAGACCGCAAATGCCAGGGAACGGACAAGAATGAGGGAAATCAATTCAGCATTTGAAAACCTGAGGCACTGTGTGCCAGCTTGCATCACCAGCGAGGATGTAGGCCCAAGTAGCGAAAAACTGACAAAAATTACAACACTACGACTGGCTATGAAGTACATCAAGGTGCTGTCGGAAGTCCTGCTCGATCCACAGCGACCTGACTATCGCTCGATCTGCGACTCAATATCTTATAGGCCTAGCGACAAGGCACCAAACGACAGTAAACGGCGGCAACGAGAAAAAAGTGAAGACCAAAAGCCAAATGCTGCAAAAACAAGTTCGGTAGTGGGAAAGAGACGCGGGAAGAAAGGAAAACTTATTCAATATGATGAAAGCGAATCGACGCTTAACCACCCTTGTTTTGAAACATCACCCTCCTCGAATAGCTCATCAGCTTATGCCTCCCTATCACCCTCCTACGAGTCTTCAGCTTCTCCGAGTTCAAATTATTCGCATGGTTTTGAAAGCAACATCATGGGCCACAATTGCAATAGCTCCCACTGTCGGAAGTCCACGTCCGATTTAAGTACTTTTATGTTGGAATCAGATGGGGAATCACTGAATCCCTCGGAACGATGGCCTAGCCCACTGCGCTCCAGTCGCAACGTACCTTCAATGCCAAACGATCTTTTTGAATGTTCGCCCAGCGACATGCCCTCTTTAGAGAATCCACTTGAACTCAGCTTACGTTTAATGGAACCGCCCACCGATTCTGTAGCATTCTCACCAATCCGCGTGCCCTGCTCAAATTCGCCCTGCCTAGCTCCTTTAATGAACTTTGAATCCTTCGACCTATTCCACCCGGACGACATCGGCGACCATGGAGCTCTCGACCTGTTTCTAACATAACTACACCCTAAAACGTAAACTAGCTTAACATACACATGTAATTACTTAGGATTAGTTCCACCATTACGCAAGTCGGTTGTTATTTCACTAACGGTTATTGTTTACTTCATTGTCCTTTTATACAAATATTTTATACTATTATATAAGCCAAATAATACTCGAATCTAACCTCACAACAACTAATTATAATTTTTTACATGAGTTCAATAAAACTAGAAACGGCGTACAGTGTTAAATAAATTAATTAAATTATTTAAAACTTGAAATCCCATAATTTGAACCATGGTGCAATGAAGAGAAGGTATGCTAAGTTGGACAATGTTGCAAGTAAATGGGCCTACCTGTATGGATTGTATAATCACAGCTACTATTAAACCAAATTCAGCATGTTGTTTTTTTTTTTTATCAAATTAATAAAACAACTCGTTGCATTGATTTTGAATATATAAGCAAAACACGCGAAAATAGAATGAAAGGTCAACATATATTTTCAAAATTATGTTCTATATTTCTCTGAAGATTTATTTCGCTACAAAAACATACGCATACGCATTTTTAGTACAACTGAATTTGAATATTTTTTCAACAGTTTTCATATGATTGAAAAGAGCACACATATGCACAAAGTAATTTGGTTTCATTGATTTCATTGTACCAAGATTTGAACTTACTTTTTTTAATGATTTATCGAACGTGTGTAATGTAAACAAGTTAAAAAGCAGTAAGTTCGTCGGGGCCGAACTTTGAATAAAACCGTTGAATAAAAACCGTTAAAAATTCTATTAAAATTTTAAAAAGTACCGAATATAGCCGTTGTGTTGGGGTTTATACGACGTGGACCTACGTTGTTGTCATAAGCCATTTGCATTTTTTTCGAAATTCGAAACTTGAAATAAGCGGTGAAAAATGTAGGTAAATTTTTGAAAACACCATTAATAGGGAGGTACCGTTACATCGGAGCTGTACGAAGACATGGACTTGCATAGACAATTTTCAAGCGAAAAGCATTTGGTGAGATAATAAATGAGATAATAAATGCGAATAAATCTTTTGTGTCTCGTACCATCGCTCGTTACCGTTGTAGCGTTACCTGGTGCAGTATATATATATATATATATATATGGTGCAGTATATATATATATATATATATATATATATATATATATATATATATATATATATATATATATATAGCGTTACCTGGTGCAGTATATATATACATATATATACGGAAAGTGGGTTTTGTTTTTTACAAATGTGGTTGTAAGCACGATTTTGAATATTGTTTATAAAGAATTTTACATTATTATTCCCGTATTTTTCGATGTCATGACGTTTCGTTAAACGTTTTGGAATTGAATGACTTCAATATTCTCACTCATACCCCTGAAACGACATAGACGACATCCGCTGATTCGATTTTTTTCGATATTTACGTCGTCTATGTATTTAATAGTATATAAGTACGTGTGCATACAAAATCTCTTCCTAAATAAACCGTGGTAATTGACCATTCTCAACATTATTAATGTATATTTTATTGTCCGCTTTATGGTGATTGGCCAAATATCGAGGTTAACCCAGTTGGAAATTTAGTATGTAAACGTTTTTGAGTTTACAAAATCTTACTGGAAAATTGATTCAGTAAGCATTGTCCAGTGGCATCCGCTGATTAAAAATATCTGCATTCACAATAATGTACATATTCTAAATATTTAAGGATATTTCAAAGCTCATACTAGCATCATACACGCTATGATTATAATTATAATTTAAAGTTCAAAGGACTAAATATGCCAAAGCATTTATATCTTTTAAATTCGGAAGTGTATTGCCCATTTGGTGTACAATTAATTTGAAATCGTATAAAGATATATGTGGCAACTACATCCAATTTCTGAACCGATCTCGATAAAATTTGGCAAAGATAATTCTAAGTTGTACTTGATATATTTCGGAGTGCATATTACGGCTGTGGGTAACAAATATAACAAATCGGGTGAACAATATATATGGGTGCTATAGCTATATCTGAACGGATCTTCACCAAATTTGACATACTAACTTCTAGACTCAATTCGGTCATAAGTGTCAAATTCCATCCCATTTGGGCAAATATTAGACGATTGGTGCACAATAACCATGGGTCCATTTCGCTTCCTTCTCCATGTTACAAACAAATGCACAAAGACATAATACCCTTACCACTATGTGGTGTAGGGTATAATAAACGGCTGGGCAATCGTAAAAGAAGAAAACATTTAAAGAATCAATTGTTTTTATAGCAAATAATTAAAAAATATTAAAATCGCCTGCCTTCATTTTTATTTACTACTAGCCAAGGCATGCTGCTGACGAATTTGGTTATCCTTATTGTAGAGAAGAAAAGAAAATGTCTATATACATTCTTCAAGAAATTTTCCAAGTTAATGTCATACGTAGACATGGACATGGCGTCGAGAGTTTAATAGACTGCTACGATATTTCTTCAACGATGCATTTCACAATTTTGATTACTATTCCAACATGAGTCATAGTTTTCATTATTTTACAAATATTTGGCATTGTAAATGATTCTGACAGAGAGCAGGCACAGCGTTATCTAAAACTTGACGTACTCGGTCGACGTTTTTCATCACACAAGTTAAACACACGGTGTTATATGAAAATTACTGAAAAAAGTCAAGTGTACGAAATTTCAACGCTAGCATTTAAAAAATTTCTTTTTTTTTTTTGTTGAAAATAGAAGTGATTAATACAAAAAAATGGAATGTTTGTAATTGGAAAATGTAACAATATACGTTTTTATGTTGCATCTAAATTTGAAATAATTTCAAATTATTTACTTTTTATTCGAAACAACACACTCATTTACAAACTTTGTATATGTTTTGTCAGAATAAGGCCACCAAAAGAAAAAAATGGTTTTTAGGAGGTAGCTTTGCTCTAATTTCTGTAATTGTGACCATGGCTTAATTAAGAAACTAGGAAAAATTCAATTCTTATAGCGTCAAATAGACTTTGAAATAAGCATTTTTTAACAAAAATTTTATTGGAAATCACAAAACATGAATTGAATGTTGGGGTTGTTCCACAAAGCTGAATCTATTTATTCATGGTACAATGAAGAGAAGGTAGGTCAACTTTGAAAAAATTGCAAGTATAGAGGTCTACCTGTTTGGCTTGTAATGTCAGAAATAGTATCAAAACAATAACAAAATCAAACAACTTGTTGCATTTATTTTGAATAAATAATTGAAAACCGCGAAAACTGAATGAAAGGTCAACACTTCTTTTCAAAACCAGGTTCTATATATCTCTAAAGGATTATTTCGCTACAAAAACTCTAGATTTTGTCGATGCATACGATGAAATAAACATTTTGAAAACACCCGAATTTGAATATTTTCTGAACAATTTTTTTGTTATTGACAAGAAAACACATACAAAAACAAATAAAGATGACATATTAAGCCAAGAAAATAAAAAATTGAAATCATATGGTATCATAGCCCTACCTTGATATCATTGTACCATGGTACCATGCATGGTACAATGAATTCAAGGTAGGGCAGAACTACCATATGATTTAAATTTTTTTATTTTTCTGGCTTAATATGTCAACTTCATTTGCTTATGTGTGTGTCTTCTTTTCAATAATAAAAAATTGTTCAGAAAATATTCAAATTCGGGTGTTTTCAAAATGCTTATTGCAACGAATGCATCTACAAAATCTACAGTTTTTGTCGCGAAATAAACCGTAAGAGATATATAGAACATGATATTGAAAAGAAATTTTGACCATTCATTCAGTTTTCGCGGTTTTAAATTATTTATTCAAAATCAATGCAACAAGTTGTTTGCTTTTTTATTGTTTTGATAGTAATTCTGACATTACAAGCCAAACAGGTAGACCTTTATACATGCAATTTTTTCAAAGTTGACCTACCTTCTCTTCATTGTACCATGGTACCATGTATTTATTTCTTTCTGCCCTCAACTTACCTTTTGAACAGCGTCGTATAAGAAAATATTTAAAAATACATTTGTTTTTGCGGATTTTTTTAAAATATTTTTGACATAAACTTTTAGTTATTGTAATAAAAACAAACCAATGAACTCTTTTAGTAAAATAAAGTTTTTTTAAAGTTAAAAAATAGGGCTACTGGATAAAAAGACAAAACCAACACTCCTTTGTCTATTTATTCGTTATGTTATATGGCTGTGACATATATAAATGACGGGTATGGGTAAAAATATTGAATCACTCAATTCTAAAATGTTTAAAATATCAGCAACTTAAGGAGATTTAACAGTGACAAGTAAAAATTACGCGATTACATCGACAAATACGGGGATAATCAAGTGAAGTTCTTGAAAAGCGATGAAGTCGAGTAGGTTGACCTTCGTAATCAGAATGTTTAGTATGCAACGCGTGCTGAGTGCCACCTATGTAGAAACAACACTAACTTTCCGTTGTCTATATATTTATTTGTCTATGGTTGTGATTCATATTGATTTCTAGGGTTCATGGCGCCATAACAAGGTGTTACTGCAAATTTTAAAAACCAAATGTAAGGTCAAAATTTATTTACGCTTTTTATGTACCTTCACGTTTATACTTGGCCCATGGTAGAAGAATATAGGTAGATGCATCAACGCTTGCGAACATTGATATGCCAACATTTTAAAATTGTTTTGTCAAAAATAAGTACATTTTTATATATTTTCTTATACGATGCAAATCGGAGGTTGTATCAATATGCATTTCTCAAAAATGTTTGCAAGTTTAAATATTTTTTCATTCAACATTTTCAATTCCAAAATCGGTTTGACAGTTTATAATCCCAGCAGCTGTGTCGAAGCAACTACCAGTATTCTTCTACCATGTACATGGCCCATGCTAGAGTTCATTCCGACAACTGTGCTATCAATTCATCGTGATTAAAGCGGTATATGGTTTACCGCGATTCGTCCGAAACATCGACTTTGACGGCGTCGTTTAACGCTGACTGCTAGCTCAGGCTTTTATATTGCAGTGTGTCACACCGTGTTGGAAATTTATAATTATTCTCCGATTTCAAATCGTTTGCTGGTTCCAAATGTTGAGGGAATGGCTGACGAAGGACGCTATAGTCTGCCATCAGCAGAGTCGACAAAATTAAATAATAATACAGGAAATAGGTTGTGACCAAATAAACACTTAATAAAATAGAAGAATAGTAAACTTTTTGTTGTAGTTTCAGATGGGGCTCATCGCACTTTTCCAACAGCAGACAACGTTGCAATTCCAGCATTAACTTAGTTAATTTAGATAGCACTGTTGTTAGCAAAATCGAGCCGAGGATTTTTGCCGACGTCCAAAGCAAAGGATTGGCTTCAAGGATAGTCAAGTACCACGAAAATGAGAGCCGCCTTAACCGGAGTATGTCGACTAATAGCCTGTACACAAAGCCGGGACAATTTCCAATTGTAACTCTCCGCAAGACTGAATTGCCCTTTCGAGCTACCAAACAATGCGTGTCTATGACGCGAATAGTACCACCTGGTAATTTATGTCATGAATTATTTGCTCTAGATTTTAATTTAGTCACATATACAGACACTTCAGTCTTTAGCGGCAGTACATTATCAGGACTTTTGCGGTCGAATTCTGTAGTAGGGCTACACAAAAGCGATGAAGACATATCAAGTGAAAACAGGCCAATTATACATCCTCCACCAACAGAAAATGATATGGCGCCAACACGCAGTGTTCTAGACGTGCTGAAAGAGATTTCCCGAAAAAGAATAAATAGCGACGTAAGTATTTAATCTTGGTGGTCTCTTGAACAACCTGTAAAACCACCAAAATCAAGGGACATTTTTGTGGTGCTTTTTCTTTTTAAAACGTTTAAATACCTGTGTTTTCAAGTAAACCTATAACAGATATGGAACTGATTTCAGCATTATTTTATCTTGAGAGATTGAGATTGATGGTAAAACATACCGTGTAATTTAAAATCATTGAATTTGTAATAAAAGAACCTAAAATAATAATGAATTTCGTGTTGAACATAAATATTTAGTCAATATCTAACATTAAAAATATTACTTTCGGAAACTTCTGCACTTTACTGTTTAATGTTTTTGTATTTTAAGGATTCAAGCGGCTCGGAAATGACTAAAAAGAATCGTGTGGGTACTGATTTATTAGATTCTGGTACCAACGTTGTAAATATCGCAACGCCCGCTGCTAACTTTAAAAGACAGCGAGATTCAAACTTACAGGACAAAGTAAATGTTAATACCTCTTTTAAATACGTGGACTCTAACAAATCACCAGAACAAATAAAAAACGTATATGCAGTTACAACAATGACATAACCAGTTCGTTAAGTTCAAGCTCAAAACGAAAATCCAAAGAGATCAAGAGACCTTCCTATCAACTTAATCAGACAATGCCAGCATATTTAGAATCCTACGAAACACCGAAACTTAAAATACCTAAACGAAACGACCATTCAATACAGGATAATTGTGCAAATAGACAGAGCGAAAAGAACATTTCTAGCATTTCAATAGCCCAGGCGACATGCGGAACTGTGCCGCAACGAAGCCAATCGGAAGGTATTACTCCAACGGAGACATATAAGGCGGTACAAAAGCCTCGTCTTACTCTGTTCAATAAAAATTACGACACCAATATTGAAAAATCACAGGACAGCTTAGAAAACGATGACAACTTAGACGAAGGCAGCGAGTGTACGGGTATTCATTTTGTCAAGCCGAAAAAACTAACCTCTAACTCTGGCCTCAAAAATCCTATATTGGAGCGAACACAAAAGTCGAAGTTAGCACTAATGTTGTCTGGTCTCAGAGGAGAATTGTATGACATAAACGACGAGGTTGACACTTCTCAAAAGGAACAGGCTTCTAGGAGCAGTGACTCTATACAAACATCAATTCCCAAACAAAATAATACCAGCGCAAAAATCGACACCCCGGAATCCTCAAAGAGCATAAACACGCAAGCAACACATAAAAACCCATCACCTTTGGTTGGACTAAAATTAACACCACAAAGCATAACATTGACACAGAACGCGAAATCAAGTAAAGAATCCAGTGTCCCAACTATTGGCATTCTTCCTGGTAATAATAAAATGGTAACATCTAATACTACTGCCACGTTAAACAATTCCACGGCCACAGGAGCTATAAAAGCTGCAAAGGGTGTTTCGAATACAACTCATCAAGATCCATTTAAAACTAGCTTAGTTGGCCCTGAAACTAAGACGGCTGCAACAACCCTTCTTGAGTCATCCAATACGTCGAAACTTGCAGAAAATACCTGTAAAAACCCCTCTGAATTTATAAAACCCTCTTCCGACACGAGTTCTTCGGAGCCTTTTTCCTTCGGACTGCCTTCTGGCTCTAAGACTGTACCTTCGACGTCTTCTTCTTCGATGACAAATGAAAAATTCTCTTTCAACCCCCCCTTGGCTTCGACCAGTGTAGTTCAATCGCCAGTTAGTGGAGGATTTAGTTTCGGCACAGCCTTAAATTCAAATATTACTCCTCCTTCCACAACCGGCAACCAGAATCCTCCCGCCCTACAAGCCACACCCAGTACAACACCCAATATCTTCACATTGCCGAATACAGAAGCCAAATCTTCATTATTTGGAGCAACAAAAGCTACTGATACTACACAAGATGCTTTTACCTCTGGGAGCAAAATAGATGAAAAATCACAAAAGACTGACTCACCTAAATCTGTGGGAGGGTTTTCCTTTGGAATTGATACGTCAAAAACATCTTCAAGTGGGACGTATACATTTGGCAACACTAGTAGTTCGTCTGCGGCTACAAATAAACTTGTCAGTTCTGTAACAACAACTGTAGCGCCAAATAACCATAATACGTTTCCTTCGACTTCTCTTTCTGAACAGAAATTAACAACAGTTTTTGGAAACTCTTCATCGTCAACTTCCAACTCGGCTGGATTTGCATTTGGTTCTAGTACAACAGCTGTCGAATTACCTAAAATTTCATCGGCATTTGCCTTTGGTTCCAATAATCCACCACCTTCCATAAATCAAAAATCCGCTGCACCCCCAAATATCGGTGGATTCTCATTTTCAGCCCCGAATAATAATTCTACGGCAAATAAGCCCAGCTTTGATGCCACGCCGCCTTCAAACACTAATACGTTGTTAGGAGGCACCAATAACAATCAATCTGCTGTTAATATATTTGGAAACGGCGGAGGTGCTACTTCTTTTAACTTTGCGGCATCTCCAGGTCTAAGCCCTCAAACATCAGCTGGTGGCGCAACTAATACAACATTTAATTTTGGAACATCGTCGTCGAATAATACTCAAACGGGAGGAACATCAACTGGTAACTCATCTAGTTCCACGTTTAACTTTGGAGCGGTCAATACAAAAAATTCACAAAGCAACATCACTTCGGCCACTAGTAAGAGTTTAACAACCACTTTCGCATTTGGAGCTGCGTCATCTAATCCGCAGCCATCAGGAAATAATGCAACAAGTCCCGCATTCAACTTTGGAAGTTCTTCATCGTTTTCAACATCTAACAATTCAATGGTGAAATCCGGTATGACAACAAACAACACCTCGCAGCCTGCATTTAATTTCGGTGCGTCTGTATCGGGCAGTGCTCAATCAACGGGAACGTCAGCCATAGCATTGAACAATGGCACTAAATCAGCATTTAATTTTAGCGCTTCCTCGTCCACGAATAATGCTCATTCAATAAGTTCACCTAGTATGTCTAATAATATAACAGCAAACAGTGGATCCGTAAACGCTTTTAGCTTTAATAATCCTTCCGCGAGCAGCCCTCAACCGACCGGCTCGACAACAATTACCAACAATATTTTTGCCATACCACAGAATTCATCTTCGGTATCAACAGACCGACCAATTCGACGTGCAACTAGACGCCTGCAAAAGTGAGCCGGGATATGATTCGAAAACGTCGGCACTCTCAGCGTCGGAAAGATGCTGAGCTTCGATTTGTCCAGCTCTTTCGTTTCTTAAACTAAAAATGCAAGTGTATCTTTGAACCAATTTGAATAAGCTGTGAACGGTCCTGATTTGTTCTATTAATATACTAACTCAGTTCTGAATAAAGTGTAAATTGTGTTTCTTTTCGGAAAGTATCGCGGCATATTGAACTTAGGGGAAGCTTCAATTTTAATTTCTCGCATTTTGGATACACATATTTGTTTAAATTCCTTTGTATGCATGTGTATGTATAAAATTAAAAATGTTTTGTTTTGTCAAGTAAGATTTTATTTGACATTTTACACCATTTTCTTCCCGTAAAATGTCGTTTTGCTTAATCAGTAAGAACTACTCTCTAGTTCATGCAGTGATATCGGCAAATTTCGGCACATTATAGATGCTATTTATGCTGCAATGCTTCTTTGTGATTTAAGATCAAGACTGTGGTTAGTAATTTGTGAACTAAAAAGGTAAAAGGCGGTGTGGCGTCGGTAATATTGAGTGTACATCTATATATCTATCCAGGGTCTCATGTCATGTGGCTTCTCAGAAGTTCATCTCGAAATTTGATAAATTTTGTCCACGTTCATTTTCCGAATCAGCGGTTTCATAGTGGCCTTTGGAATTTTTGTGCTGCTTTAGAGATGTTGCACAAATAAAACCTTCTCCACATATGTTACACAAATAAGGTCTTTCCCCGGTGTGTCGACGATGATGTAGAGTTAGATCATTTGACTGAGTAAAACTTTTTGCACAATACGTGCAAGAATATGGCCGCTCGCCTGTATGAATGCGCATATGCACATTTAATTTATATTGTCTTGAAAACGATTTTTCACAATGAGAGCATTTGTAAGGTTTTTCTCCAGTATGAGTGCGTCGATGAGACTGCAGGTCGGAGGATCGCGGAAATGCCATTTCGCAAAGATCGCATTTGAAGGGTTTCTCACCCGTATGTCGTCTCATGTGAACGGTAAGATTTGAGTTGTTTGAAAATGATACACCGCAAAAAGCACATAAAAAGTTTTTAGTTTTATTATTTGGCGAAGACTTTCCACGCTCTCGGATTTTCAGGGATTCATCTTGGCTTAAAGTCTCATTGTTATGAAATTTTCTAAAATGTGCCTTGTAACGATCTCTACGGTTGTAACGACGATGACACTGCATGCACTCAAATATGTTTGTTTCACCTTTATGGGTTTCTATCTGACTATGGTTTCCGATTGTCGCAGTTGTTGGATCATCGACTTGCTCGTCACTTTTTTATGAAACAAGTCCAGATGAAGTTCCAAATTTTCTTGCCACATAAACTTGAATTTGCAAATGCTACAATGATATTGTTTGTCTACATTGTAACACTGAGTCGATGTGTGATATTCTAGAAGTTTCTGAAATGAGAGCCGATTAAAATATGTACCTATTGATCATTTGATTTGTACCTGACACGATGTTTTAAAAATGCATTTTTCACATTTCAAAGGCAAATGTTCGTAGAAGTGCATTGATCGTTGGTGCTGAGTCATTTGGTATTTGCGCCCAAAAGACAAGTTACACAGTGAACACATGTATCGTTGGTCAATATCTTTGGCTTCAGCGTGGGTATTTTCTTCTGCTTCCGTCTCGGAATCCAACTCTAAGTGCAATTCGAATCCCTTTTGGTTTGTTATCGAATAAGAAGTAGCCGATGGTTGGACTGTGCATACACTAAGCGAATAATGATCACTAAGATTAGCCATTGTTCGGAAATCCGAAGAGCAAATTTTGCACTTAATAAACTTCTTCCCGTTAGGACAGAGCAATGGGGCAATGCTTTCGACGCTATTGACACTATCTTGGGTTAAACAATGCTGTTGTGTCAAGTGCTCATTAAGGTGTTCAAAAGTATAGAAGGTTTTGGGACATAAGAAGCAGTGTCGCAGCTCTGACTCCGCTGGGTGAGTTAAAGACATATGTTGCGTTAGTTCTTTTTGGGTGCAGAACTTGGTTTGGCACAGTGGACAAATTTTCATTAAAGTGCGGCTTGTATCTACCTAAAAAATTTAGAAAGATTGTGTTAAATAGTTTGCACAAATTTGAAAACACATGTATACAAAAATACCTCTTTTGCTGCCTCGTTCGGATGCTCCATCGCAATGTGTGTCTTAAGGTTGTCCCTCCACATGAAACGAAGAGGACAACGTCGACAAGTGTGTCGTTTTTTTGTGTTTTTGCATTGAGTTTTGTAGTGTAGTTCTAACATAAGTGATGACAAGAAACGAGCGTTGCAATAAATACAAATATGTCGACCATCTTCCCACTTATGTACATTCTGATGATGTTCATAAACCTTGTACTTCCGATCAAAAGTTAACTGCGGGCAAATGTCGCACGTGTAGACACGGTTTGATTTTAATAAGCTAATTGCATTCTTATCATTACTTTTACCATCGGTTCTATCATCCTCCGAGTCACCACTCTCGGTTTCCGAACTGTCCAGACTAACTTCATAGCCGTATTCGTTTGTGATTGAGTAGAACCGTTCCAAATTCCGTTCAGCTGCAATATCAGCGGAAATTTTTCTGAACAAGTCCACCTCGCACATTGACCCTTCTTCGGGATAGATTTTTTTTGATATATGATCTATGCTCTCGTTTTCCTTGCGTTTTTCGAAGTTAATCTCGTATTGGTGAGACCGCAAATGTGAACGTAAATCGCGAATGTGTGCGTGTTCTGAAAAACATATCATGCAACGTATACGCTTGCATCCGTGAGGTTTAGCTAAGTGTGGAAGAATGTACTCAATAGTCTTATTGCAGTTTGTTATCAATGGCATGCTACTAGCGTCGTGAGTACGTATATGAGCGAGAAGGTTATCCTTTCTCTGGAACCTTCGTTTGCAGTGTGGACAGCCAAACTTTTTTCCTTCAGTGTGCGTTTTTCGATGTCGAACCAAGTCTTTCGGCCAAATGAACACTTTCTCGCAATATTCACATTTCAAAGTGCTAGCACGTTTTGGGCGAGGTTGTTTCTGATGTTTGTGCTAAAAAGTAAGAAATGTATGAGTTTGTCATTGAGCTTGATCAATATGGCACTCACCTTTATTTCCTTGTGCTTAACCAAATTATTCGGCCATATGAAACGAGCATTGCAGTATTCACATTGCTGCGCAACTCGTCGAAATTCATTCCAGCATTCCCTAAATTTATGTTGCTGAAGCAAGTCATCACTTACGAATTCCTTTGTACAATCCTTGCACGCATACGGTAAGGGAATTCCTAAATGATGTTCGTTTTGGTGATTCAACAAAGCCTTCCTCTTTCCAAACATCGTGAGGCATAGTTCACATTTGTATATTAAAGATGTTGACTCAGAGTCGCTGTCGGAATCCATAATGTCCATTTCCATTCCATCCTTGTCTAAAGCCCTATAGAATCGGCTTATTTGAGATTTCTCGAATGCATTTTGTATTTCCTGTTGTATCAATGCACGGTCGTGAGTTTTCGACCGTTCAAATCTCTTAAAATAAATGCCATTGTGAAAATCGATGCCAGTTACACCGTCCGCGTGCTGTGTTATATGATCTCGGAGATTTTTCAATTTTTCGAATGTTTGTGGGCAGAGGCCACATCGAATAATAGCTTTGTTTGAGCTATCTTCTAATTCATGTCTCTCTAAATGTTTCAAAAATTTAGTTTTGACTTCGAATGGTCGGTTGCAAATATCACATTTAAAAATCTCCCTGTCTTCGCTGTTGATCTCGGGTTTTGATGCACAGTTATGGTTTCTCATGTTTTCTGGCCATACGAATTTGGCAGGACATTTGGTACACAGCAGAATTTTACTCCTGTTACGGCAATGAATACGGGAGTGGCGATCAAACATTTTCGACGATATAAAATCTAATTTACATAGCCCACATTTCAGAGGCATCTCTTCATTTTCATGATCCTGTTTTAAGTGGTTGAACGCCTCATGTTGAAATCGACACTCAAGACCACATATTTCACACTTATATTTAGGCATTGTCATTTCCGCGTTTAAATCCTCTGGTTCAGTGTCGCTTATAGACATTTCATACGAGAATTCATTTAAAACTGCGTAGTATTGAAACCACCGACCTTCCTCAATGTCCTTACATATCAATTCCTTAACGCTGCCCAAATTGAATTCATTCGGGAACAAATGCGTAATAACCTCACTGTCCATTCGAAGATGTATCATAGAATCGATTTTGTTGTGAGTTTCCATGTGATTTTTTAATTCTTTAGTAGAACTAAAACGCATACTGCAGAGTTTGCACTCCACCATTAGCCATTCCGTTGGTCTACTGTATAACCGGTCTCCAAACATCCACTCCTTGCGCTTGCTCTTAGGATACGTGGATTTATCGCAATGCATGCGCTTAATGTGATGCCTCACCTTATCTTTACGGCTGAAATGCTGGCCGCAATACTCACATGGAAAGGTTATTTCTCTTAAATGTATAGATGCTATGTGTCGGCCACAGTCTTTTCGCAAGGAGAAAGTTTTTTCACAAATAATACATGCGAATCGGTCGTTCACTTGCCGTATTTTGTCGAAGTAATCCGGAGCTTGTCGACCAACTCTTCGTTTCCTGTTTTAATTGAAAAATTATTATTAGAATGCACTACCTTTTTAAAGGGCAACAAACCTTTGTGGCCTTTTATTAGAATCTTTATCCCGTTGATGGTAATCCTCTTCCTCAGTGGACGATTTCTCCGAGTTATTGACAATATGTGACACCTCCTCTGCTTCCAATATCCTTTAATATAAAGATTTAATCCAGCTTATCAATATTTACCCTGTAGCCTACAAATTCTGTACCTGGGTTTGTCGGGATGCATGCGTTTTCCATGCAGTCGTATCTTGTCCTCTCGGTTAAATACTTCAGGGCAGTATTCACACAGAAATATACTTTCCTTTAGATGTTTTGAAGCAATATGTCGAGCGCAGATATTGCGCTGGGGAAATGTTTGGTCACACATGTAACATCCATATCGATCTCCAATATGTTTGATGCTTTTATAGCAGTCTAAAAGTGGACTTTTCGTCTTTGTTGTTCTTTTTGAAGAGGGTTTCCTACCAAGGTATACGAAATTTTTATAGATATGAATATATTTAGCAAACGACCTAGCATTTGAAAAACAATAACTCCCACCTGTATCCCTCTTCTGATTTTATTCTTTTTGTGGGTTCGTAGTCATCGTCAGACGAATCGTTTTCCCCATAACCATGGACATTACTTTCGTCGCCAATACCCAGGGGGCTGGAGATTAGTAGTAGTTCTTGTAAATTATATATAATATATGTTTGTCCATACCTGTCTCTTCCAGATTCATATATTTCATCATCACTTTCATGCTGCATTTCCTTAAGAGTGCATCTGTTGGAGCTTTTTATGAACTCCGATGATACCTTGTCTGTTTAAAAAATTTAAGCGCTTTGTTTGTTTGTTTGTTTTATTTGTGAAAATATCCCACTGCTTACCATTTTTCTCCAACTGAGCGGAAACATCTTTATCCAACAGCAAAATACCATACTGGTCCCCCACCACCTCTAATTTAATGTCGTCCAAATAGTGGTCAACCGGCATATCAATCGCAGACTCTTCCAAACAGTCCGAAAGTTTGTTCCCCACATCGTTTTCTAAAAGGGGATCTTCCTGGCCATCTGCGAGAAATTTCATATATCTCTCATTTACATGATGAACCCGAGTTATAAATTTGTGCGCCTCTTTAAGACTTTTCGTGCAGTCAGCACAAATCATTTTCGGTAGCGGACCGTCTATTGGTATCTGGAAAGAGTAGTGTCAAATAATTTCGTCCGTATTAGTTCCATCTTATCTCACCTCCAACTTTACGACTTCTGTTAATAGTTCTAGCAGCGTCTTCGAATCTGTCTCATCTTCATCGACCAGATTGTAAAGCTCTTTTTCTCCGGGATCGAAACATGTCCGGCAAATTCCGTTCATTATTGTTAAAACACTAAAATTTAACTTCGTATTTCCCCAATTTTTTTTTATTTTCTAATGCCTTTGTCTATTTGGGATAGAGAAAGGAGTAAATAGCCCTCAATAGCTTGAACATTAATCCTCAAAACGAATTTTGTAGACTTTGTCTATGCATTCCCACAAATTGAGTATACACTGACTTTTCAAACTACAAAGGACAATACCATTCACTATAACCCCGATGGATAGACGAATTATCGCCGTTCTCTTTTATAATACAAATGGCAACGTTGTCTTAAAATAACAACCAAGAGAGTAAAGTCATTTCGAATAAGCATATCCATCTCTGCATTATCTGTAACAGCGTTTCCTAAAATTCGACGTACTCGGTCGACGTTTTTCACCACACAAGTAAAACACATGTATTTAAATGATTGTTACCCAAATACGTCGGGCGCACAAAATTTCAAAGATGAAAATAGGATTAATAAAAACAAAGTGTGTGAATGTTTGGAATTGGAAAAATGTAGCAAGTGGATGAATGTTAAAAATTATCAATAGTTGTGTTCCAGAACCTGCAAATTAGTACTAATTAGCACTAATTCTGCTACAACGCGTTCCCGTACTCCAAAAACTAGCAAAACTTGCAGCTCTCTCGAGAAAAAAATGGCGCTGAGTGGTGCACATTTCTGCTTGTTTTAGCTACATGAATTTGGCCGAGCAGAAATGTGCATATTGTAAATTTGACATTTAATTGGCAGGGCTAACAAGGTTGAAAAATGTATTGATACATTTCAATAAAGAAAATGATCAACTTGAAAACTAAAGGAAAAACTAATATTTGTCGTGCAAAAAACAAAAAGAGAAAATATGGAGCAACTGATGTATTCACTTTTGGATGATTCCAGCAGTGAAGAGGACTGGCTGAATGAGGAATCAGATTATTAATTATTATTATAAATTATTAATTTTAACTTATCGTCTTCAATACTGATTTTTTAAATGTTGGCGCTCTTTTCAGTAAGGTTTCACCAGTCCCATTTGGGCTGTTTACTTTTGGAATTTTGACATTTTATCGCATTTCTGCTAATTTTCCGTTCCCTTATTTTTTGAGCAAACCTAAATGAGAATGACATTTCGAACTGTTCTCTCTTCAGCTAGTTTTACTACTAAAAAGTACTGGAACACAACTAATGTGTTATGTCGGTGGCATGGTACAATGAAATAAAGGTAACCTCATTTCAAATTAGCTTTCCCAACTCTGCATTTTCTGTAACTTACCTTGTCAAATTCCAATGCATAAAAACCAGTTCCCATCTTTAATTTTGTGTGTATATAATGGATTTATGAATTTAGATTTTGACAAAGATGTTGTCAAATGTATACATTTGAAAAATTGTAAACATATGATTGCATGACTTTACCTTCTTAGTTCTACCATGGTCGACGGATTTTAAGATATGGACCTGACATTTTACAGTAGTTGAAAATTTGTGTACGTTACGTTGAATTTTATGTAAGGCTGTAACTTACCTTGTCAAATTTCACGGAATAAAAAAAGATTCCCAACTCTGATTTCTGGATATACATGAGATGGATATGAGATGTTGTCAAATGAACAATTTTGAAAAAAATGCATGCATATGATTGCATGACATTACCTTCTTAATTATACCATGGGTACAATGAAAAGGTAAGATAGAGCAACCAGTTGAATGATAGAAGAATACAGGTAGTCGCATCGACACAGCAGCTGGGACAATGAACTGTCTAACTGATTTTGGAATTGAAAATGTTGAATGAAAAATTATTGAAATTTCTATAAATTGTTGAAAAATTCATATTATAACAACCACCGATTCGCGTCGTATAAGAAAACATTTAAAAATAAACTTATTTTTGATAAACGTTTTAAAAATTTTGACATATCAATGTTACTAAGCGTTGATGCATCTACCTATATTTTTCTACCATGAACCAGTTGATTACAACTTTGAAAATCAATAATTGGAAGAAATCAATTGTCATGGAATTGAATGACAGTTTGAAAGAAAATTTGTACACTTCATTCATATTTCGCGCTATTTAATTCATTTCAATAAAAATATGAAGTAAATTAGAACAACTTGGAGTAGTTTGAAGAAGCTGCTCTACCTCCTTATCATACCATGAACGTAGTCGGTCGACGTTTTTCATCACACAAATAAAACACATGTGCTCTGTTCCAGAACTTTCAAGAATCTAATAGTTTTACAACAAGTTGCTACCAGCTGGCCTAATAGGGTTAATTTGTAATTTTATAATGGATTAATTTGTAATGGTAAACAACGTCTTCGACATAAAATACGTGTATCTGAATTCGGCCTGTTCCAGAACCTGCAAAAATATACTAGTTTTGGAATTTTTTGATATCCTAAAGATAAATTCGGTTAACGTTATAAAAACTGTTACATTCTGGCAGTTCTGGAACATACCAAATATGTGAATTTGTGCTATCGAAAAAGGCTGAATTTGAGAGAATTTGTTAAAATGTTGCTGTGATTTTATTTGGATTGCTTGAAGATATGAACCTTGCGTATTTGGGTAATAAAAGCGTACTAAAATTTTGCCACAGTGTGGCAAGTTCTGCCATTCTGGCAGTTCTGGAACATACCAAATATGTGAATTTGTGCTATTGAAAAAGGCTGAATTTGAGAGAATTTGTTAAAATGTTGCTGTGATTTTATTTGGATTGCTTGAAGATATGAACCTTGCGTATTTGGGTAATAAAAGCGTACTAAACACTTTGCCACAGTGTGGAAGATGAGTATTTTGTACTGTACCTCGGGTATTAGACTTTGGAAATATTATAGTAATTTGGGATTTGAAATCGTCCACATATAACGGTATTGACTCGGGAAAATATTTAGTTTTTACAAGCACAGGCACATAAACAGGGAAAGTATAACGCTATCACAAAATTTATTTGGCCAAATAATGGAAGACAAAAATGCTAAGCCTTGTTTCCTTTCTTTGGCATTTTTATAAGCACTTTACAAAAAATGTCTAACATTTTTTTTAACTTTATAACTTCTTAAATGTACAAATACCAAGTGCTGTGTATACAAATTAATCGGAATGCCAGATGAAGTAGTTTTAATCTGGCATGTCATAATGTATCAGGATTGGAATACACCACATTAATGCATTTGCCGCAGTAAAATCGTGCATGTGAAAATGTTGGAATTGCCGTTTTATATGTTGCAAAAGAAGTCCACGTCTAAATTGGTTTCTCTGTATACATCCGCTACGGAAGGGTTGAACGCCATCAACAGACATCTCTAATTCATCAACAGTTGTGACAAACATAGCAAAGCCGTAATGAATTTGACGAAGTGGAATGATTTCAAACACAAATATTCTAGTCGAGCAACTGGGGTCATAGCGATCACATCATAGACGCGGGCTACCGCCGTCAATCGCGTAATGCCTTTACTGGGCATTTATACATAGATATATAATTTCAAAATGTAAGTATACTGATTCCACCAAAATGGTGGAAAAATTTCAACTTTTTCAGTTGGTGCAATAAGTAACATTTGCAAAGTAACTTAGGTTTCAAGTTATTTATTTAGGAAAATATTTTGCATAAGTACAAATAGCTAAGCTAACTTTGTAAAGGAAAACGTTCAGATTGCGCAGTTGTGTTACGTTATCATATCCGGTTGCTTAAGCTACCGCAAAATCAATTTCCGCTTGCAAACGATTGAGTTTTTTTGTATACATTAATGCCTAAATAAGCCAAAAATATTTAGACCAAAATTGAAAACAGTTTTTTATTTGTTTCAGAAAACTGGAGGAATATCATTCAAGTCTAAATATTCTGGAACCCGTCTTTTTACTCGAACAATAAAACATTATTAAAATGAGTTTGGAAAAAGTGAAACCGTTTACATCGACAATAATCATATGGATTGGACTTGTTGTGTTTTATAGAATCGGCAGTGTTCACAGTGGGCAAGTGAGGCGCATATGGATGCAAGACCATTGTCGTGATGGAGTTTGTGGCGATATTGTAATTGACCGTACTGACTACGTTATAATGTCCCAGACGGCAGTAGAAAAGCACATCATACTTACCTTCGTGAATTCTAGCATTGCGAAAATACCTCATCTCATGTTTGATACATTTCCAAATCTACAAGTTTTGCGCATGGAAAACTGTTCAGTGGATACTTTCGAGAGGCCACAGTTCGAGGGCGCAAGTAATTTGATGAATTTATTTCTGGGACATAACCGTCTAAAAGAAATTCCGCGGAATACATTTTTGGGAGCAGATAATCTTAATGTTTTAATGTTAAACCACAATCAATTAACTACATTGAACAACTATAGTTTTCACAGTTTGAAGGAACTAAAACAACTCTCCCTTGATAGTAACATGCAGCGAATCACTGCCCTCCGGGGTCTTTGTGCCGTTGCGTAAATTATTGGATATTAATTTAGCTCGAAACCGATTGAAATCACTGCCAAAAGGAATTTTTGACTCAAATCTCAATCTTACGCATATTTCCTTAGCAGGAAATTCCTTAAAAACTTTTAAATCGGAAATATTTTAGTATCAATACAGAATAGCCTCTTTAGACCTTTCCGATAATGTTTTACAGGAATTAACTCTGAACTTCCCCTTACTTGAATCGGTTTGCGCCAATAACTGCGATATGCGGAAGCTGACCATTATGGGTATTGTCAGGGAATTGGAACTACGCAACAATTCACTAAGAGACATACCACATATTCCGAATGCATCCAATGTGACTGCGTTAGATCTATCCCACAATCCTTTGGGTTCTCTGCAAGGTAATCCATTTCGACGATTCTCTGGTTTACTCCGACTGAATTTAAGCTCTACTGGACTTCACGATGTGGACGAGGGTGTATTCAAAAACCAGGCTCACCTCAAATCGCTCGATATTTCATCAAATTCTCTTTTTACCCTGAAAATTACAATGTTTGACCACTTGAAGGACTTGCAGTACTTTTATTTTCAGCAAAATAACTGGAACTGCGATTTTCTACAGTTGATCATGACCTCTTTTGTCAAACGACGCGATATATCCTTTCTGGAGGACTCAATTGCACCGGAATTTGTAGATGACTATATTGATGGGATGGCTTGCTGGTATGAAAATACGAGAAGCTCAAAAAAATGTGATGGTAGTCCCCTTACCGATGTTGCATTGGAGTTAGCAATCGTTCGAAACGATATAGACCGTATGATGGAAGCTATCGACAGAAAATTTATTAAACTCTTCCAGCTTATGGAGGAAATGAAACTGAGATTATAATAGTTTAAAACACGACATTCGTCTATCGTACATGTATGCGTACATAGACAAACTCATCAAATATTAGCGTACAAATCTAATGCGTTATGGTATCTTATTAGCTGATATGTCGACGTAATTATTTATTAATATATTTATCCTTGTATTCCAATAAAGTACAGCAATGCAATTGCCAAGAGCAAACACCCTATTTTATTAAAGACAAAGCCATGACCATGGTTCAGTTGTATGGAGACCCAGGAAAACTTGGCAGTATATAGGAATGTTCTGCCGTCACAATTTCAAACAATTCTGTGAATAAAATCATCAAATTACCGAATATCGTATCTTATATGACAGCCAGAGGAAACCGTTAGAAAATAGGTGGTACCGTGGTACAATTAGGAGGTAGAACAGCTTCGTAAAATTAAAGAAATACTGCCCTGAGGCTATGTCCGCTTCCTGTCAAATTTGCATGCCACAAGTTGTTTTCATTTATTCAATATTTATCCTCATTTTTAAAATCTGTTGAATAGCGGGAAAAATGAATGAAATGCCTAGATTTTCTTTCAAAAATGTGATCTAAACAGTTCTATCATTCAATTTCATGATAAAACTACCGAATAGCTTTATTGCGCGTCTCACAATTTACGCGTCTTCCAATCATTGATTTGGAAAATAATTTGTTTTTATTTTGAAAACAATAAATACATACACAAAATTGGCAGAAGTCGGGCACACTTAGAAAAAAATTGTAATCAGCTGATAGCTCTACCTTACCTTTTTATTGTACCATGTTAATATTTATGTTTTTCACATTTTGTAAAGCTGTTCTCCAAAAACAATTAGTCTTTCTAATTCCAAAACAATATTTTCAAATTAAAATCACAAAAAGAAATAAATAAACAATAGAAAACATCTGATTGAATGTCGATGAATGAGAAGAAGAAGAGTTGCAAGAGATTACAAGAAGAAATTTGTCCAGCAAGAATTTGCAAACTCTCACTGAAAGAACTGTCAAAATCTCTCTCTCCAACCGCTCTCTTTTGCAGAACTTTCGGGTTAAAAGACGACTTCCAGTAACAATTGTTACAAATTTTAGGGTAACCAGACACACCTATAGTTACCAATGTTAGGTAATTTAAACCGCTAAGGCAATATGCAATTATTTCGGAATGTATATTCAAACTTTTATTTGTCTTTATTTTCTATAATTGTACTTTTTATATTAACATGCCTCTGTCATAAGCTGTAATTCTAGATGGTGTAGCCACACACCATTTGTTCAGAATGCACTTTGTCTAGTCTTTACCATTTTAAGTCTTTGCCCGAATTTTAAAGCGTTAAATAAAGTTCGACGTACAACGTCGACGTTTTCAGCATACAAGAAAAACACATGTTTTTATATGAAAGTTACCCAAATACGCCAGACGTATGAAATTTTAAAGTTGAACAATTTGAAGAATGACAATTAAACAATTTATTTTTTGTATGTTGAAAATAAAAACTAATAATTCAAAAAATGGAAATGTTTATAATTGGAAACTATTAAATTGGGTGAATTAAAAAAGCATAAATATTTACAATGTTCTTGTTTGGTAAATTCTTAAATATATACGGACGTACAAAACATTTTACAAACAGTGGTGAAGTTGAATCTTTGTGTACGCTTCGTCGAATTGTAGGTAACGCTCTTAGAAAAATTTTTTTTTTTAATTTTCGATTAAAAACGTATTACTTGTGGAAGAATAAAAGATATTGTAGAGCTACCAGCTGCTCACAATTTTCTCTGAGAGTGTTGGACTTCTCCCAAATTTATTGTTGTCAAGAATAAAAACAAAATATTTTCAAAATCAATGGTTAAAATACGCACAAAGCGGCTTAATGATACTGTCATGAAAGTGAATTATTAAAAACTTTGGATCCAATTTTGAAAAAAAAATCCACATTTTAAAAATGAGGAGACTGTCAAATATACGAGAACACTTGTTACATCCTAAAACTGATGTAAATATCAATAATATATACAAATTCATAAGAAATGTTTAACTTATTATATAATCTTAATCAAATTTGTCGTAACTTTAAAAAAAGTATTACAAGTATTAACGCTAGTCTCCACGTCTTATTAATAATGAAAAACAATTTTATAACATATTTTAGACAATCCCTACAATATAAAATGTGAAAAGGCAACTTTACATACCATAAACTAGGCTTTCGTATTTAAATTTACAAGTTAATACCTAAAAATTAAACCCAAGATTTGGTATACATTCGTATCGATCAGCATATTTAACTACGATAACCGATTTTCAATAAATGATATCGAAAAAAATTGCAAATCTAGAAGATTTTTGCAGGTTCTGGAACAGAGAAATTGTTTCATTATAGATATACGCTAATAGAGTAACAAAAAATCCATATATTACTATTTGAACCAGTGTAAAGTAAATTATGAAAAAGCCGATTCATATGCATATATTAAACAATATTATGTATTTCGAATTATTTAGCTAAAATGTTAGTTTTAATGAGACTTAAATATATGCTAAGTCTTAAATAATCATTTCAATAACTTTACCAATACTATTTTCTATAAAAAAGACTATTGAAAGAGAGTGCGTAATAGCTTCTAAGTCTTTATATAGTATAGTATGAGCAACATTGTTCCGCAACCCTTTTGCATTATTTAAATTTGATGTATCTGGCCTTGTGTCACAAGCATTATTAAAATAATGGAAATTTTGTTGATCAGAGATGTTAGGTTTTAATCCAGTTCCTCTTGGGCTTCCTCGTCAGCAATTAAGGACACACGATCATATCTGTAATCGACAGATGATTCAATCCCGGCTTTCCGTTGGCATTTGCAGATATTAAATCTTATCTCAGATTTGTTCAAAAGTACTACTAAAATTATTATCACAGATGGCACCAAAAATACCAAAAATAGCAAAGAACGGTAGTCGCGATCTGATCTCTGACTTGCTATTGCATTGCCGGAACTCCTTTCAGAAAAATTGACGCAATAAGACTCGTTGGTATTCAGTCGTCTCTTCAATTGGCTCCCACTATAACATGTTTTACATTCGGAACTCAAGGGACCAAAACAGTTGAAGCAACTTTTATCACACGGTTCACAGATAAAGGCAGTTTGACTGTTTAAAGTGTGACCATCATCATCAGTTTCACCTACTTCCGCTCCCCTGCTCCGCTTCTTTCGATCGTTGGCCTGCAATTCCTCATAATCAGGTGCCTGTCCACGTAGATTGTTGTATGTCATATCGACGTGTAATTGGCCCCTAGCGATGTACGTATGGGTAGGGCACATATCATAGCAACGTCCTCTATAGAAAAATGTAGGCGGGGCACAAACTAAGTTAAAAACAAAAATTGAAATAAAGTTTTTAATTCAGACACAAAGTATGTGCAAAACTAGGAAAATAATAAAAAGAAACAGTTTCTACAAATTATTAACACGTTCATACATATAAACATAATAAACAAAGAAAATACAAATGCGTACAGTGAGCAAAAATTTTTAAGTCTAAAAATTCAAATTATTTTTGAAAAATCATCTACAAGTTTAATATTCTTTTTTTGTTGATCTTTTGAGCAGTTGGGTGTTGTTTAATAAAATGTTAAAATTCTGAAAAATATGTTTCACCGCAATACCAGATGTATTACTGCCTATGAGCCTTTCGAATTACTTTTTGGAATGGAATTTTAATAGAAACAATTGCTGCTTTATTAATAATGTTCTAGACAAAGTAAATTATCTTTATGATATTGTAATTTTTGGATAACATTTTAAATGGAGAATTTGATCAATTTATTTGCTCACCGTACATTGTATAAAATGAATGCATGTCGGAAGAAATTAATTTTGCCATTTTGAACGACACGTCTCTCTTGGGACTTGTAGGATCAGTAGTTAATTTTGCAGAACCGGTAGATATTCTAACACTTTGATGCCATTACTCACACTCAATATATTAACAAAAAAATACTAGCGAAAACATGCTTTTAAATTATGAGGAAAAACAAAAGAACAAAAAGCAAAATTGTTTACCAGTCACCAACAAAGAAAAATAAAAGCACTTATGTGGGTAGGTGGAGCAGTGATGAATTTCGGGGACAGATGTGCTGTTTTTTTTTTACTATAAGAGGTTAATGCCTGATGAACCACATAAGTACCATTGCGACTATTTTCCGAAAAGAAACGAAACGCAATGAAACAAAAGATTAAAAGAAAAGAAAACATTTGATGTATGACTCTCACTCACCTCCAATTTTCTATAAGTTGCTTTTATTTTTTAAGAACTGACTCATCAATAGACACTTGCTGTATCTTGATAGCGACAAATCGCGGAGTTAAGCACATTTTCGCTTACCTTATACATACAATGACAATTATCTATTCAGCATTTCAATTAGGTTCCTCTTTATTTAGGTATTTTTAAATGTAATTTCAGAATGCTTTATATACATATTTGTTTCATATGAAACTATTGGCGTTTATTATTGCAAACTTATTATTTATTTTCTTTACAATTTGTTGCTTTATTACAATACATATTGTTATATTATTATGTTGGTGTCTAATTGATAAGTCGGTATGCATACACCGGAATAGGTTTGTAAATAATAATACGTAGTATATTCCCTAGTTTTACTTCAAGTTAAACAATTTGGCATTTAAGTACGCTAAGTTGTAAAATATAAGTGATCATCTCCTCCTTAGTTTGGTGTACGTAAGCTTATCTCAATTTGCGCTACAACATACATACATACGTAAATAAATTTCCCCTCCTATGTTCGATACCCATTCGCTATGCTCTGTGGCCTCTGGGAATAATGAATTCCTCGTATAAAATAAACTTGTCATGCTAACGATATGCCAAAAATGCAACATGGAATGTTGAAAAAACATCAGTTAGGCTGCAAGTAACTCATTAATAATTGGGTAAAATAAATGGTATTCAACAAATGCGCACGGAGCTAGTGTGCACGAATAGGACTCTATATATACCTTACTAATCTATGAGAGCTATATGTGACAGCATCTCGACAAAACAAAATTAACGATTAAACAAAACATGTATGTGTATATATTGCTATAGGGTATAACAGAGATATGTGTGTTATAGTCGAGTTAATTACATAAGCAAACTATAGAAATTGCACTGTAACATCCATTGTCTAAAAACAAATTTGATAAACTTAAAATATTTTATTGCACTCAGTATGCATCCGCAGATGTAAATAATTATATTTGTGTTACTATACAAATGGATATGTTAAATTCATTTGTGAAGGTGTACGCCTGCCACAAATAAGAGCATGGTATGACTTTCCGGCAATATACAAACTATTGGCATGATCAAAAGTCTGGCAGCACAATTTTCAATAGGCGTCCGGTGGCATGTCGTAATTGCGTGACTAAGCTTTAATAACTTACTTTTGTATTTAAAAACAAATTTGACTTCAACTAATACTATTGATCGATTAGAAAACCAACAGAAACATATATTTTTATGACAAAACAAAAATTTTGATATTCGTAATAATTATAGGATCAATATAATACAACTTGTCGAATTTATCAAAACAAAGGATTAATTTAGCATTTTATACGGCACTAGCTCTTTTAAAAATTGGCAGTCTCCATATGTTGACAACAAAAACTATTTTTATTGTTTGGCTTGCTTAACCGGTTGTCTATTTGTTTAGACCCAATGAGACAGAAGTATGCACCCCCGCACTAATGCAGGCGAAAAATTGGGTTAATAATATTTGTGCTCATGTTTATTTTACTTTATTGGGCGATAGATTTAATACTATAAAACCAACATTTTGACATTTCATTTCCATTATAGAAATGACTCTTCAAAAAGGTGCAAGACTAATGATTCGATGCATATTGACATTAACAAACAAAGTTAAAGATTGTTATGCAAAACATAAGCCCCACACAGAATCAGATGCATGATTGTTGTTGATTGTAAACGTGGGTCATTGTCACTTTTCACAAAACATGTTTCATTTACGAAAACAGAGCTCCTTTAAGAAACGTTATGTATTGATTGACACTAATTAGAAATTCTGAACATTATTTTGGTACATTAATTTAGTATAGGTTTATGCACTTTTTATTACAAGTTGTTAAGATGTTTATATGGTGTAAATCTAAAAGGTTTTCCAAATATATCCAGAAACTGAGTCTGGTTCAGAGCACTACAGAACAATCCATATTGAGTTGTTTTTGTAATTCTCAAAAAAATCACCTGTTCACTTTTTTAATGTTTAAAAGCTTCTATACAACCGAAAAAGTAGCATTTTCATTCTTGGGAAGCATTACTATTTTCTTAAAAATTTCAATATACTACATGTTTCAAACGCCACAAAAAAAAAAAAAAAAAAAAAAAAATATATATATATATATATATATATATATATATATATAATATATATATATATATATATATATATTAGATAATGAAAATTCACGCACATTCTTTATGATTAAAACAAATATTTTGTATATTTTATAATGTGTTTTTATCCCCCTACGAGGAAGGAATGACGGAAAACCTAAGTACAAATTGAAACTATATGAAGCTACTCATGACTCGAAGGCCCGACCCAAATATCTAGTTTACAAAGTGCAGTTGACGATTCTAAGGTCGTCACCCAATGTAAGGCGTGCAAATAGTTTTACACGTACACTAGACAACCATTGATTCCATTGTAGTATTATTAGCTTATCTCCAGGGCGCCACCTATAGATTACATTTAAAAAATTGTTTTCTGTCTGTTCTAAAATTTGATTCTATATAATGTTTTACTTATATCTACATGTGTGTATATAATTTGTTGGCTAAGTTATAACTAAATTGTTGTTTACTCTGTACAGGGTATCTAATGGCTAACATTTCCCATTTAGCTTATTGTTAGAGACATTGGTGTAAAGAATTATCTCTTTCGACTGAAGAGGTTATTAAAAGAAATATAGGAATATATAATAGTTAATAAGGACAAACCTAAGCACTGGAGATTTATTGTAGCTTTCAGGCAACTTGTATTTGTGCGATCGTGGTTCTCCATACCGGATTCACCAAGCTGAAATTATATAAAAAAAGTTATTAACATAGTTGTTTCTTTTAAAATAAAAGCCAAACATTTTGAAGACAATTCACATAAATATCTGCGGTAAACTACCGCACATTTTCACATTGCTACTAATCGAATCTGTAATATTAGATAATTTTTACATTATCATTAACTAAGTTGCAAAAAACTAAAAGTATACTTGCTTTTATTTGCACCTACTTTTTCGACCTTTTTAATTGATTTTTGATTTTTGTCGAAGCTCCTCCAAACTTGGCAAGTATTGTTAATTTTCATTGATTCCATGCATGACTCAGTTATAAGTTCAAAAAATAAGACCAATTGATACCTTCGTTTACTGTCAACACAATTTAAATTCGCTTATAATCGCGTACGAAAAAAGACTGTAATCCGTGGTTGATTTTAAATTTAAAATATTTATTTATTTAATAGAAATGTGGATCATTTGTGGATGTTGGGTACAAGGTACATTCTGGGTACATTCAAGGTACATTCTGCAGCTTTAACTTTGATTTTAATAATATGCTTTTTTTAGAATGTATACGGATGCACTGTACATTTAAAGTCTATGATGCGTGATTCACAATCTAGTGTTGAATATGGTTCCCAACATATCACACAGAAAGTTCGTGTTTTTCCTCCAAGCTCTTCTGAGTAACTGACTTCTTTTTCAGATTAATGATGTACAGAATTATTTCTCTATTATAATTCAATTTCTTGAACACGGGTTTGTTGTTCAAAACATACAAAACAGCATTTTTAAATATGGTTTTTATTTTCCACTTTATATGGTCTGTGCTATACCGACGCATGATTCTCATTGAGATATATTACAATAATAGTCGTAGTGGATATCACAAAAAAGTTTGTGATCAAGCGGTTGTTGTATCAGTAGTACATATGGGTGCTTGCATTCTGCTAATCTTGTCCAAGCTCCCGGTTTAAAAATTCGGCTACTTTAACGGACTGTAGCCCGAGATCTTTTGGAGTGAGTGGAATAGATTTGGCCTGCACATTCTGCACGTTAAACGAGTATGCCCCACCCGAATAAGAGGAGAATGTCACAGTTCGCCAGACTTAACTATAATGTCACCTGGTCTGATAAATGGCGTGACTTGGCAACCCGTCATTTCTCTTGGCTCAGACAATCTCCCGATAATCGTCTCTGAACGCCGCACTTTCCTTAACCATGGGAAAGTTCATCATCCAAAATGGCCTAGACCACCTGAAGTGTTGCAACATTGGAACCGATATGAGTAAGCAGTGGATAACGACTTAAAGCCCTCGAACCCGTACGATCATGGCGTCGGTCCCAGTGGTCGATGACATATGTGAAAGATTGAACCCCTATCTCGCGGAGCTTGTCGCATACTTCCACGAGAGGAATACCGCGACCACACTCTTTACCACATGGCCGCGGAGATGAGAACACAGCTGAATGTGCAGGTTGAGGGAAATTTAATACCGACCACGAACTACCCCAAGATTCAAGAGGTCACATTCGACCGCTGTTCAAGTCGTCCGCGCAAGTCACAGCTATGCGACAAGATGAAAAGTAGGAAACGATAGGTTGGTCTGTGATCAGGTATGCGGCTCCAATGTGGAAGCACATCCAAACCTACCAGAATGCGACAGGGTGCCTCCTCATGACACCAGTAGACCATCTACATAAGGAGGCGAAAGTCCTTCCCTTACGTCAGCATAATAATATGCTTTCGTTCAATACCTGCTTGAGTGTTACCGTGAAAGTCATCCCAACCGTCATATGGTGGATACAACTCCCCAACTAGGAGGAGGTCCAACGCTATAAAAGAGAACCTCTAGATCAAGAAGTCTATCAAGCAGGTCTGAGTGGCATTCATACCGATGCAGTCGCAGATGCTATCAGCAACTACAGAATGAATGCCGTCCTCGGAGTCCACCCCCAATCCATTGCAGCTGAAGAACGCCAGCTGTCAAGGCAAACCCGGGTAGTTTTGGAGCAATTACGTTCAGAATGGTGTAGTCGTCTCAATTCGTATTGGGCACGAATTGACGAAGATTTGTGTGACGTCTGCCCGGCGTGTGATGCAGGCCCGCACAATACGCTGCACCTCTTTAATTGCACAGCCAAATCTATTCCACTCACTCCAGAAGATCTCGGGCTACAGTCCGTTAAAGTAGCCGAATTTTTTAAACCGGGAGCTTGGACAAGATTAGCAGAATGCAAGCACCCATATGTACTACTGATACAACAACAACAACCGCTTGATCACAAACTTTTTTGTGATACCCACTACGACTATTATTGTAATATATCTCAATGAGAATCATGCGTCGGTATAGCACAGACCATATAAAGTGGAAAATAAAAACCATGTTTAAAAATGCTGTTTTGTATGTTTTGAACAACAAACCCGTGTTCAAGAAATTGAATTATAATAGAGAAATAATTCTGTACATCATTAATCTGAAAAAGAAGTCAGTTACTCAGAAAGAGCTTGGAAGAAAAACACGAAATTTCTGTGTGATATGTTGGGAACCATATTCAACACTAGATTGTGAATCACGCATCATAGACTTTAAATGTACAGTGGATCCGTATTTCCATTTCCAATTTATTAGTAGATGTTGCAAGTAAATAGTCTTCCTAGATCTGGAACCAACATTTCCCAAAGATCTATAATCTCTCAGAAGTGGCAAAATAATAACATTTATTATTGGTTTTTGACTGAAAGGCATCTATATGGATACACACATTTGACTATATTCTTCAACGAAATCAGCCTTAACGAAATAGTCAGAAGTGCGTCTTTCCTGTATTTGTGAATTCTCCAAAGAGTCACTGGAATGGACATTTTCGTATTTTGTCTACAAAAGTGGAAAACTATTTCGCACATTGAATATTTTTGGATGGCCATCCCAAAACTGCTTGGCTTTTGCAATGTCCGGTAACCCCCATTCAAATGTGCATGAGGATCGGGCGATAATCACGACCTGCTGACAATTTTGCAGTTTTTTGGTCCATTTCAACCCCTAAATATATTGCGATCATCTCCAAAAAGAGTAGGCTTCTATTCTGACCCTCATCTTATACCGTGGAAAATTTCGTAGGATCGGGCCATAAATGCGATCTGTATATGATATCCTGATATCCTAACTACTTAGTTTTGTTAGCTGTAGAAATATTACCAAATGTTTAATTCAAAATGAAAATATGCCAAAATATGACAAAATTGAAAAAATATGAGAAAATGTTACAAAATCAATATTTTTATCTTTAGAGAGATATTTTTGTGGAATTTTTTTAGAAGTTTTTTGTTTCCTGCCAAGAGGCCATTCTGAATTAATGAGAACAGTCGAAATCAGTTCAGCCGTTCTCGACATATAAGAGATCTTTCAAGCATATCTTCTTTGATAGACATATATATCGCACATATTTTGCTATATATCCGATTTGTGGATGTAACATCAATGTAAAGGTCAGAAGTAACCTTGTCATGGCTTCGTGATTTCGCCGGGATTTAAAATATTCGCGGTTTAATGAAAAGTGTTGAATTTTTCAACACAAAATATATGGTCTATTTTACCCGCTAATATTATCCGATGACCACCATAATTGGTAGGCTTCTTCCCCACCCTAAACTCTAGCTACATACGAAATTCCGCATCGATTGGTCTGTAATTGCGACCTGTATAGCTACTGCAAAATACGATATTTTTTCAGTAATTGGTCCATTCAACCCCTAAACATTTGGCGATCGTCTCCAAAGAAATAGGCTTCTATTCTGACCCTAACCCCACCTCACCGGACCATAATTGCGACCTGAGAGTGATTACAAATTAACATGGACAGACGGACAGACAGTAAATGAAGGTATCAATTGGTCTTATTTGTTGAACTTATAACTGAGTCATGCATGCATGGAATCAATAAAAATTAACAATACTTGCCAAGTTTGGAGGAGCTTCGACAAAAATCTTTAATATACAATTAAAAATGTCGAAAAAGTACTACTTTTACAGGGCAATAAAAAAAAAAAAAAAAAAATATATATATATATATATATATATATATATATATATTACATATATATATATATATATATATATATATATACATTTAGTTGTCTGATATATATGTATATATACTAAAACCAACCTTTGGTGTATCACGCCACTGACTATTTGAGCCATAGTCAAAATTATTGCGTTCTGCTTCTGCAGTAACCAAGTTGAATTTGTCCGTGGCCATAGGAACAGGATCATCAGGTTGAGCAGGTTCTTCTGTGCCATAAAAAATCAAATCCATTGAGTAATTTGAGCTAAAATAAAATATTTATATAGTAATTAATTCACATAATTACTATTGAACAGTGGTATGTCATGCATACTATGCTACAAAAATATACATATTTTTTCTTAAAAAAAAAGAACAACTACAAACTGAGTGCAGCATACATTTGATTTTATGTGGTGATAAATTACTGGTTGCACAACAAACGTGCTCTCTATGGTATTCATTTGGAATGATTTCTTAAAAATGCAGTGGATAAATACTTTCGAATTTGTGGTAAAAATGAGCTAAAATGTTTTTTATCCAATTTAAAGTTGTTTATCAAATATTTAACTAGCATTCGTTGATAGACTAGGTCAGTGTTATAGCTACGGTTGTGTTTTAATTTAACATGTCTCTGTGGTGGGCAGTCCCTTTTCATATTTTCCCATGGACTAATTTAGTCCAGACTTTATTTGGTAAAAATGAGCTAAAAATGTTTTTTTTATCCAATTTAAAGTTGTTTATCAAATATTTAACTAGCATTCGTTGATAGACTAGGTCAGTGTTATAGCTACGGTTGTGTTTTAATTTTAACATGTCTCTGTGGTGGGCAGTCCCTTTCATATTTTCCCATGGACTAGATTTAGTCCAGACTTCATTTTTTTATTTATATTCAATTAACACAGTTACCTAGCCCATAGGGCCATGGACGGTTCAAAAACTTCTATACATGACTACTCTAAATACTCTACTCTTTACAGTTTCATGTCTTTGATAAAAGTAGTATATTGTATAACATGGTTCGCCCGTTCAGTTATAGCCCTCTCTCTTGTTTGTATTATGGTTAATAATAAGAATTTTTCAAGAAACAAAATGAATAATTTAAACATAGGCGGAAAATAAGGTACCAGGAGTTTCAACGATACCTTCATGCAAATCACCCGAATTCATGACTTACATACATATTACGACGAACGCCTATCTTACAGACCTTAGGCCTACGCCGACGCCCACACTCATTCCCAAATAAAACTTGAAAGCTGTATGAGCCTATGAAAAACAGGTTAAAGAAGCTACCGTCTGCATTACCAGTACTAATGGAAACAAAGATTGTGAATTCAAGACCCGCGGTGTCAAAAAAATATATGTAATATAATGCGTTGAGACGGTAAATGTATAGCTTCTTTTAAGTTTGCAACGACGGCAACTCATTCACAAAAAAAAAAATACTGCAACAGCGTATGCTGTATCTTCAGACCTGGCAGTCACAGTTATCAAAAACCAAAACTGTTGCTTTACTGTTCTGTAATTGATACTAAATAACTTGACGTCAACTATGCTGTGGCTGTGAAGTACTCACAGCATATCATCAGGTAGTCATCAAAATTAATAACCGCAATCACTGCTCGGATGTTCCGGGCAAAATATTAGTTGAAGTGTAGTTTGCGGACTTGTATCACATGCTGGATAGCAGTTCTGTTTGAATTTGTTGCCAGTTTCCCATAGTCTTCGGGATTTACTATGCTGTGGTTGTGACACTTAACAGCGCAGCACATAATGCGTTTAATTAAATATACATAAAATTGTATGTGAATATACTTACAAATTTTTATGTAAATATAATTCGGCTATTATATATTATAAATAAATAAATAATATATGCTTGTATCTCATTCAAAACTATGCTCAGACTGTAAACAACAAAACAAAATACTTATATGTGTGTGCATAAAGATTAATATAGACATTTATAAATAAATATGTGTGTTGCAAAAAATCTTTGCTGGGTTGGAAAATCTTGTAAACAATGCTTAAGCTTCGGAAGATAAATTAGTTTTATAAGTATGCATATAGATTAATAAAGAAATGTATAACTAAATATATAAAAATATATAAAAATCTTCGCTAATGTTCGAATAAAAATAAAACTACTATATGTTTCAAAACGGCTGTTCACAGAATTTCGAAGTTTTTTTATCAGTCAATAATAATTTCATTAAATATATACGAATACTTTTTCTGACAACTATATTTGGACACATTATCGAAAAACTAGCCTACATATTTTCAGTCTACATACTATAATAGTACATAAAAAGGTAATGACTAGACAAAACGCATTCTGAGAAAATGGTTTGTGGCTATACTATCTTGAATAACAGCTCATGACAGAGGTATGTTAATATAAAAAAACATAATAATAGGAAAGAATGACAAATAAGAGGTTGAACAATCCAATATATTTGTTTCAAGATTCTATTTCATAGACCTTTGTAATTAATTGCATATTACCTTAGCGGTTCCAATCACTTAACATTGGTTACTATGTTGTCGTGATATCGTAACAAAAGATCTATTTTCACCTGGTGATAACTTGACACTGGCTTGTCCTATATTTACACTTCTATGTCATTGAACTTTATACTCATATGGACATACAAAAAATTTATTCAAAAATAACTTTTTTTTAACCAGAAACAAGTAAAAAAGCTGAAAGTTCGGCTGGGCCGAACTTTGTATACCCTCCACCATTGGTACAAATTTGGCAATTTTCATAAAAATAAAATCCGTTGAAAATTCTAAATTCTATTCACAGACAATTTTCTGTCATAGGCTGTAGTACCCATTACGAACTTCAAATGCGAAATTTGAAACAATTCTGGTAAATAATGTCGCTAACAGTTATATGGGGGCTATACGACGACGTGGACCTACATGGCCCATTTTCAATACCAAAAGTCCTGCAGACCGAATACACGTTTGAGTAAATTTTTATCAACCTACTTCATTTCGTTCGGAAGCTTGAGTAATTTCCACAGACGGACAGACGGATAGAGGGACAGACGAACGGACATTGCTAAATCGCCATAGAACTTTGTGCTGATCAAGAATATATATACTTTGTGGGGTCTAAAATGTATATTCGAGGTGTTACAAACGGAATGAGGTGGAATATGGTGGAGGTTATAAAAAAAACAAAAAATTCGGCCGGGCCGAACTTTTGATACCCTCCACCTTTCGGTAAAGAAAAAAAATTTATATATTTAAACGTTTTCCACTTTAAACTACAAATAGTAGTAAAACCGTTTGGGTAATGCTGTTAAACATTTCAAAAAAGCCATAAAGTGAGTGAGTCTGTTATATGGGGGCCAATTTTTAAGGATTGTCATGTACCAAGCCTTGTTATATACCTAATTTGAAACAATTTCGTGGGTAAATGTGACTAGTATTATCAAAATGCCGAATGTCGATGGGTATTGTTACTTGTGCGCCACAGGAAAACGAGGACCTATACATACATAGTTATGCCACCGAAGCTTAACCCATTGTGAACTACAATTACCAATTTTTAGACAGTACCAACCATCCTTGACACAATACAAATTGTCTGCTAGATTTTGAAGCTCCACTTCAAATAATGTGGGCTGTATAGTGATTTCAACAGACAGACGGACATCGCTAAATCGACTTAGAATTTTTACTGATCATGAAATATATACTTTATGGTCTACGATGAATATTAAGGGATGTTACAAACGGAATGACAAATTTAATTTACCCTTTTTCAAGGCGGAGGGTATAATAAATGGAAATAAAATTGTGTTCAAAATACCTACTATATATGAAAAACATGCGTTGCAACATTTTACACTCAGACTAAAATCACAAATAATTATAAGGAACATTTCAGATCTAATGCAACATGTTGTTATGATATCGTAACAACAGATCTATTTTCACCTAGTGATAATAATTTGACACTGGCTTATCCTATCTTTACACTTCTATGTCTTTGAGCTTTATACTCATATGGACGTACAAAAAATGTATTCAAAAATAACATTTTTAATCAAAAAATAAATGGAAATTAAATTGTTTTTAGAATACCTACGATCTATGAAAAACATGCTTTGCAACATCTTTACACTCAGAATAAAATCATAAAAAATGATAAGGAACATTTCAGATTTCATTGCAACATTTACAACAACTGTTGTACCATTAAATATTTTTTCTGTGATGACGTTAGAGTGCCACTTATTGGTCTTTGAGTTCCGCCACTAACTCCGGCTGCGGCCAATAAAAGTTGGCTTCTTTAAAATATTTTGGTCTGGCACAAAACTGGATGACAGTTTGCGTGTATTTTCACGTGATGGCTTTGTAAAACTGCCGCTAGGATTAGTGGAAACATTAAATGGAAGTGGCATTGAATGGTTTGTTTTTAACGATTTCTCAATTCTATTTTTGTAATATTTTCCTTTTGATCTTTCAGCACTGGTTGATACGGCTGAAACTCTGGGAATATCGATTGTATTTTTCATAACGCTCAAGAGTTTGGTAATACGTTGATTAGACTGTACCGATGAAGTTTGGATACGATTCGTCGCTGACAATTCAGTTGTTGTTGTGGGAATTCTTGTGGATAGGAGATTCTTGACCTGCTTCGTAGCTTTCACGTGCAATTTCGCATTGCTTCTCTCCGGAACCATACGTCACTACCTTCTTTGAATTTGTTATTGGCAAATCACCAACAACTTTCTTGTTTGATTTGTGATCAATAGAAGCCTGCAGTCGCTCGGATGAATGCTGAGTTTTCCCTGTTTTTGATTTTAAATTTCAGAAGAAGATGTTGATTTCGATGATGAGATTTTGCCTTGCTGTGATATGCGATAAAATTTGTTCTTTGGAGTCGGTGTAGATGTTGGAACTACTCTTCGATTTCACTTTGTTATTTTTGTTGAACTTCGCGTTGTCCTGAGGCCTCGCCTTAAGTTTATTTTGTTTAGAATTCTTATTATTCTGAGAAGATGAACCTTGCTTCATAGTAAATTTTTTATTGGGAACAACATGGCTCAATGTTGCATTGGCAAAGCGAAATTGTTAACTATATTCGAAGGATTGGCTGTTAATTTATTAAGGAGAATTTTCCACCTGCTCCCAATTAGACGAAATAAAATTAGTTGATGGTATGCGTGGATATTGTGCAGAATAAATTTGGTACAGGTGGTAGTAGTTGAACTTGAATTCGGAGTTGTGATGTCAAAGTTAGTGCGAGGTGTGGAAACTGGATCATTTGGGTCAATGGATTGGGTAGTACCATAAAATATTAATGACCACTCTCTAAGTAGAGCATGACCTTAGGTTAGTTATCGTTTAAACAATCGGTTCAAACGGATTTCAGCATTCATTTAAGCATATCAATGTGTAATTTTGAGACAATATCCAGAAAGCAGCATTGAGTATAATAAAGAATTACATTAATATTAATGTGTAATGTTGTAATTATATGTACAGGTTATTACAATATTGTACAAATACCTCTTGTAGAGTATATTAAAAAATACCGTCAAAAAGTACGACATTTAAGGCTACTTACCCATATATCGTCCTTCGTTGTGAATCTCTAATTGCCAATTACCGTGTGGAGATTCGCCCCAGGTATGAACAGACATGAATGGCCATTGATTAAAGCCGGAATGCGAAGTATCATGCACTCTATATATGAAAAAAGTTGTGTATATGAAAAAAATTAGATATGACATCACATAATTCACTCTATTTAAAAATAAACAAGGCAAAAAAGGCGTTAATTTCGGCTTGAGTGACATTTTAATACCACACCATGAGCTAAAGAAGCCCTCGATAATAGAATCGGGATTCCATATATACCATATAGTGGCCGGTACCTTTATATCAAAGCTATACCAAAACGGGAACCCACATAGATATTTTATGCTTCAGATGTTGTTACATATTGTAAGCTTTAAATATTAAATTTGAAATACTACTGAATACCGTATTATATGGGGCATGTATAGCAATGTTCTGTCACAGGAGGTAAATGGAGAGGTAGAACTCGACCCTAAATACCGAATTTTAAAAACAGTTACGTTAGAAATAGAGTTTATATCGTCAAATACTGAAGATTAAACTGTTGAACCAAGGTCAAAAAAAATAGTTGTAAAATAAAAATGAATTATTATATTGAATTAGCATTTGAATTTATCCGCCAGCAAAATCAGTTTACTCAATGGCTTTGAATAAAGCTTTCACTCAAAACTAAGAAGCTATAATTTCTTAGATCAAATATACATACTTTGTAGGGGAAAAAGAGGTTATTCCTAGGAGATACTAACCGAATGTCAACGTCAATACCACAAATTGTTGGTAGCATTGTAAATTAACCAAATAGGTGGCATGATAAATTCAACAAATTAAAAAACACAGCTCTGATCTAAGAAACTTGTTACTTGGAAATTACTCACAATAAATACAAAAAGTTAACTTTTATTGCTTTAAATATTATAAAAATTCTTGCCAATTTTTAAAGAGTTGCTTTTTAAAGGAAAAGAAGCTTCCTTGGAGATTTCTAAGTTATTGTAGGGAATAGAAAATGTTCAAGAATTATTACTCATGATTGGGCTGATTTATTGCCTAACTTCGTTTCTCTCGCGTTTTGCCTCATCATTCCCTCACACAGTGTTTGCTAAGTATCACGTTTCAACGCGGAATGTATACCTAATCCTGACACTCAGAAAGTTAGTATCTGTCAATTTGTATACTTTTTATGTACTGGAGTGTGTTTATACGTACATACCTAGGCGTTAGTAAAGTTACTTTTGTTCCAGCAGGAGAAATAAGATTTATTTGAATGTCGCCCCTTCGTTGTGATGTCAAGGTAATCTTGGCTTGAACATGTTCCAAAAAATTTATGTTCAAACAGTTTTTAACTGATAGTTGCAATGTTATGTGACTTTTGGGCGGAATCACTCTGAAATCAAGAGGTACAAGATACAATTTTGTTTTGGAACGGGTAGGTTTGTACATACTTATCGACATGTGGTGCATTAATTTCACACCGCTGCTGTTCGGGAACAGTTTTCCATTGACGAGCTAGTTTAACCATAGCTGCGGCATCCATTAGGCCGTAGCCAAATGAATGACTCACCCTTCTGCCGACACCATTCTTAGACCAAGTGGGATCCATTAGGTTGGCTGGCTTAGCTGTCCTTACGACAATATGTTGCATATCACGCCACGTTAGGTTATTATTGGATTCAAGTACCAAAGCAGCTATACCGGCCGCCAACGGAGCCGAAGCAGAGGTTCCTGTATGGGATACTGTGCACGAATGATGCAAATCTGTGGTAACAACCTGTTTTTCAGCCTGGCTTCCACTGCTATATGTTGTTGCCAGAGTAGAACTACATTTCTCCGAATACCAAGGCACAAAGCCATCTTCGGTGGCGCTAGAAATTGACAGTGTCCAAATTGAATTTGTATAACCATCACAGTTGCAATTATCCATCTCCCTGCCTCCATTTCCTGAAGCCCAAATGAAAATGCTACCCTTTCCCGCTCTTCCTTTAGTGACACCTTCTATGAAGGCGCGAGAGGCTAGTTCTCCTGGTCATCAACCGTTTTTCCATCATCATCCGGACCCCAAGATGCACTATAGATGTCTATATGTTGCGGATTTAAAGACAGCGAACGAGCTTCTACGGCATCAGTAACGTCCCATCTAACATTCGGACACCGCCAACACTGGCACCAAACGCAATTCCTACAGCACATATTGAATTATTTGCAGTTGCGGCAACCTCGCCCGCACATCTTGTGCCATGTCGATTTGAGTCGGCCAAATCGTAATGAGGCATAGGATCTTCGTCATGACTATTCACGTCATAAGAAGCCTTTGGGTCCTGTAATATGCGTAAGTTATTTATCATCATATGTACTGTAGATAAACACATCGATTCACATACATAGTTGTTTATTATATCAGGATGATCGGACTCAAGGCCATCGTCTAAGATAGTAACCACAATTCCTTTGCCCGTAATACCTTCTTTCCACGCAGGTATTACATTCATGTCCAAATCGCCGCCTCGATTCTAGAAGAAACGTACAATCACTGTTTTCACGAATCATTCTGATTTACTTACCAAATACCACATGTGCTCCCATTTAGGGTCTGTAAAAGGCATGGCCTTTACCTTGAAGAGGCGGACCTCGACGAAGTTCGTGAAGGCCTCATTCGTATGAAGTCCCTTTTCCGACGGGACTGGCAATTTGGTTTAGACCAAGTGACACGTCCATCTTCATCAAGTCTTGATGGTGATTGGTAGAAGGTTCCACTGATCGCTTTGCTACCTTGTGATGAGCGAACAGATAATGATCTTGAAATATCTGGAAATCACATTCAAATTGCAACGTTATTCTTAGTTTACCTTTTGTCAAATGTTTTGTGCCAAATTTAAAAGTTATATCTCTATCAACTCAATCGAAGTAAACCAATATTTTTTATTTTTTCGTACACAAATAGCGAAACTAAATTAATATGTTTTACTTACTTTGCCCATATTTACAAATCCGTTATCATGCGCCACTGCATCAGCTTTGCTATCCATATCACCATCTGGTATGTGTACGGGCCAAGTGTGCGTGTAATGATTTTCAAAATACTCTCCTTATCGGCGTAATCCAGTTCATGCAGCAATGACCTGTCGTCGATGACAGAGCCGCTTTCAACCTCACTGCATGAAACGAGACTAACCTGAAAGGAACACAAAAAAATGGCGATGCCTATCTCAAATATAAGCGTGGACCAATTGCTAGATCTGCATTTCGGTTGGAACTGTGCCTCCGGCTCTCATGTCGATATTCGTTTAAGTAATTATGCAATTTCGTCGTTCGGGGTAGTTTGTAGATCCATACTTATTTACATCTTCAGCTAAATTATATTATTGTATAAAGATCACATCTGACGGACTGAATTAGCGAACCACTCGCGTATGAGCTGCTTAGAAATGTTGTATTGTATGATATCTCGCCAGCACAAATATGCTGGGAACTTCTTGTTTCTTGGTTGCAACACAGTTTGCTATATGTCTTCCTCCTTTTTTGAGTTGACCATCGTACAACGTCGTTTTTCATTGTTTACGGAAAGAAAAGACTTTCCCACTTTCCTTAACTTGAAGAGCCAAACGAAGTCCAAACAGCCTTATAGTTTTTATTAAATATTGTATTCTGAAAATGCAACAGGAATACATCAATGATTTCATCGAGTCAGGTATGATAACCCTCCTAGATTTATATTGGAATGTGATGTTGTTTGTATATAAACTGTGATTATAAATCTTCAATGAATATATACCTCTCAACTGAAATTTTCATAAAAAGTGAGACGTATGAAACATATTTGAAACACACGTTTAACTTGGACCGAGATATTCCTTTTTCAATCACATACAAATTGCTGACAAAATGCACACATATATAGTTGTGATTTTGTTCATGAGTCAATATTCGTAATATTCTTTGCAACATTTTGCAAATATATAGAGCTGACATTTGACTCACGATCATTTTTTAAACATTTAGGAAAGTTGCAGCAATAGGAGATGGTATAAAATATTGATCTGGAAACGAAAGCGGTGAGAGAGGTCAGGTTTTAAGTACTCATGTACTGAACATGCAACAGTTACGATGTTTGGTCGAATGTATTCTTGATATTAAAAATAACAGTTAAATTGCAGGGATTTTTGCCTTAGTTCTTGCACAACACCATATTGTGATTTCCCCATAAATACAGTCTAGTCAAACATTAGGTGAATGCGCTCGCGTTACTGTATTGCCGGTAAAACTGAACCAGTCCAATTAGCACAACGACAAAATCCTGTTTTCATTAGCACATGTGTCAGTGGCCCAAAGATCTGCCTCCCTATTGCTAACAAAGCTTTCGATCGAGCTTCAATAACAAAATAAATTAACGCATGGATCAACAATCCCAACACCTCAAAACATAACTAATAAGAATATGGATAATAACTGTCCCAATGCCGAGTTCCGTTAGACGAGAAGCCCATGCTTCAATCTTGCAGCAAACTATCCAAACAACAAACACATTTTGCAAAGCAGAGGTGTTGAATGATTAAACCATAAATGACCAAAATGTAAATTCTATATGTATGTACATACAACGAAGCAAC